TCTGTGTGTGTGTTTGTCTGTCCAAGCAGCCCTCACCGCCTGGACCAATTGCTATCCCCGGTGGAGGTGTTCCTCTGAACATGAGGGAAGTGGAGGAGCTAGAGAGAATGACAAAGGACTTCATAAAAGACATGGACACACATGCACCTGTCATCACCTCCCCTCCCACAGGTTCATACACACACACACACACACACACACACAAAAGCAGAGCAATGATGTAATATTCATGATAAAACAAGAAAGAAAAGGCTTGATCAAAGGGTTTTATTGCTGCCTGAAAAATATTCATGATTAGATGCTAAACATTCTCATTGTTTATTCTTGTATTCTTCAGTTTAGGTCTTTCAGGTTCTTTTTTTTATTCCTGCTGTGGGTTTTTTTTAACTGCAGAGGTTCAAGATCTATCAATCTTGTAGAAATTCAAGCTACTATAAGTGTGCCAAGTGTCCTCTAAATGTTGCTTATAGTGTGTCTGTACATCTGAGTTTATCCATAAGGGTTTAGATCTATGTTACTGACTTCACATCATTTTCATCCTCATTAATAATTAATAACACTGTAGGGCACACAAGCAAAGTTAAATAGGAAGATTTGATGCTATTAATGAATAATCTGTTGTTTGCTTTTTCAACTTTATTTTCCCGTGTCTTCCTCCTCAACTCCCTCTCCCTTTAACCGCTAAAGAGGTCTGTGGGAAATGTGGCGAAGCTCTATCTCGAACACAGCCAGCAGTTAGAGCCATGGATAAACTCTTCCACTCCAACTGCTTCTGTTGCATGAGCTGCCATCGCCCCCTGCAGGGCATGCAGTTCTATGACAGGGATGGAGCACCTCAGTGTGAGGACTGCTATGTGGTGAGGAGATACACACAGATTGTTTCAGAGTTGACATTCATATAAAATATACACTTAAGTGTATGTTTATTCAAATGTTTTATTTTAAGTTAAGTCATTGCATGACCATACTAAATACCATAAGCGCACACACACACACACACACACACACACACACACACACACACACACACACACACACACACACACACACACACACACACACACACACACACACACACACACACACACACACACACACACACACACACACACACACACACACACACACACACACACGATCACTGGATTGCCTTTCATCATTTTTGGCACACAACCCCCATTTCAAAATTTATGTGTTTAATTTCATTTATTTAATCAAAAGCTACCTAAACTGCACACCTCAGTCCACATACTGTTGAATAACCACCAACAGTGAGAAGTGTTCAGTGCATAATATTTTTATGTGTAGAAAGTGCTGAACAAGATCTACACAGCTAATATAGCATCCCCCAGTGTGCATCCAGGTTGTTAAGTACTTTCATATCTCCATCTCAGTTACATGTTATGTTCATTCTGCTCATCAGAGTTCCCTGGCGGTGTGTTCCCGATGTGGGGAGAAGATAACTGACCGTGTGCTGAAGGCGGTGGGCCAGTGTTTCCACGCCCACTGTTTCCGCTGCAGCACCTGCTCCTGTGTACTAGAGGGGGCGCCCTTCATAACTGATGACAACAATAACCCTTATTGTGTCCAGGATTACCACAGGTAGCTACTGGGTGGAAAAGTCTCATTGATAATCCGAAACAGATATTACATCTATTTATTTTTACTGGAGGGATTAGTTTCCACACTTCTTCCACACTTAATTTGGAGGAACTAAAACTTGTTTCTCCATCAAAAGCTGATAATTTGATGATCTGTGCATACAAATTGGGTTTTAAAAAGTTGACAAATCCTAAAGATCACTCGTTGACAGGCACATTTAATTAACTTTTTCTGGAGTACTTTACTTTTTGAGCTTCTTGACTGTCAGGTTAGCTTCTAGGTAGACTGTATCAGAAGGCCATTGGCAAACATCCATCTTTCTACCTGTGTATCCTAGGCGTTTCTCCCCTCTGTGTGTGAGCTGTAATGAACCCATCATTCCAGCACCAGGTAGCGAGGAGACAGTGAGAGTGGTGGCTCTCGACAAGAACTTTCACCTAAAGTGTTACCGTTGTGAGGTAAGAGAAGAAAGACAAGGACAGCGTTTGAGCAAATTATATGTATCAGGTAGTTAACACGTGCATTTTTGCTCTGCAGGATTGCGCTCGTCCTCTCTCCATAGAGGCAGATGAAAATGGCTGCTACCCACTGGATGGTAGGATCCTGTGTATGAAGTGCCATACCCAGCGAGCCAAGCAAGCAGCAAAGTGATTGGCTGACGCAGCATGTCACAGATTAACTATGAACCAAATCTAAAAGCACAGGATTCATTTAGCTGCCGTTTTGCCTTTGCAACAGGGCTTTATTCAGTATATGTGTGCAGGCGTGAGGGTGAATGTGCTGTGTGAAAAGATTTGTTTGCATGCAGATTCAGTGTAGTATTCCCCTGTCTCTGTTCACTTCAGTGCAGAAGTAATGTACTGCATTGAAATCAACTCCACTCAACTTTTACTCCAAGTCCCTCACTCTCTTATCCCTCATCCAGCCCTCTTTGTGTAATAGAACATAGTTTTTGTGCCAATTCCATGTTTACGCTAAAATTTAGAGCAAAACTTGCACACATACAGTTTGTTCAAAAGAACAGTCTGGTGAATATAAAGTTGCCTTTTTTTTATCTCCTCAATATTTTTTGTAGCAACAAAACTGATATTGATCTCAAAACATTCACTGAATGGTCTCTGTGAGCATTGTGACTACACTGAAACAGATAGTTACCACAGGGAGACGAGTACCAGGGACCTACAATTTGAGCATTTTGCAGATTAACCACTCTGGTTGGCTGTAAGTAGAAAATATCTCAGAACTTTGGCAGTTGTTGTGCCTGCAAGCATGGTAGCAGCTATGATGCATTCTTAGCAAAAAAAAAAGTGCTTCATATCAGCCAATCTGCTCAGATAGCTATTTTAAGTAATCTATGGCTAAATGTTGACTGCAAACATGAAGAAAACAGTGAATGTTGCTCCAAGTTGAATCGTGATGTGAATCTGTGTATTTACAGGCATGCCTTGATGTATGTCTCATTTCTCTCTTATTTGATCAAACATGCTGTATAAGGGCACGATGAGAACAAAAGTCGGTCGTTTTCTTCTCAAAAGTAGTGTAGAAATGATTAAACATTGTATTTTTAGATGCATGCTTTTTGGATGCACACATTGTGAACAAAAACTGAGCACAGCGCCTTCCAGGGAACCTTACATTTAAAAAAGGTGAAGTTATAAATGTCAGCTGCATGGCTGAAAACAGGACCTAATATGTGATCATTGCACACTTCCCTAGTGAAATAAAAAATATTGTTTAGGTGTCACTTTGACTCTATAGCTCCCGCACATGATCAATTCAGTTTAAGTAAAAACCTTCAAGACATCAATGCATCTTTTGATATGCATTTTCTTGAAATCTTGCTTTAAATTGAATAATTGCAGGACCTGTTTTTCATTAAGTATTAAGGTTATTTTTCTACAAGTACTGAAATAACCTCTCCCTATTGTAGGATCAGTAGTTATTAGTTCTGAGTTTTAGATAACGGATGTTAACACATAGTGACCAAACATTAGAAAGCTGTTTGTAAGATTGTTAATGTTACAGTAAAATTGGATTCAGTGTTCTGTAAATCATGTTTTTATCACAGTATCTGTTTAAGCCCACTTTTTTCTTCCTCATCTAGTCTCATTTTACAGTAAATACCACTATTCTTTCCACTATTCATCTTTTGTACTCAAGCCTGTCCATATCTGTTTTATACTATTATATTCTCTTACTGTACTGTATTTCATGATGATACCTACATTTATTTGGTCTCATGTTTAACCTAGATTTTGTCTTCTCCTCTGTTGTATTCCATTGTTCCTTTTGAATTGAGCCTGGTTTGCAGCCACACAAATTCATTCCATTATAACAAACAGTTGTAACTTGTGCTTACATTGAGCCTGGTGTAGTATAACTCCAGAAAGACTTCAATGGCAATAGTTACTCAGCATTGCATGCTAGCTGTGTAGGTAATGGCATTTCCTGTAATATTAAGTGTTTTGTTTGCACCAACTTCTCCACCTTAATGGCCCTGCCTTTGACATCACTCTGTGATCTTATGACAATGCCTTCACACTTAAGTGGCGTTTTGTTGTGCGATATTTCCCATTGTATTACACGCAGTTGCCTTGTCTTTTCATGTAACTTTTTAAAAATATAAATTTCTGTTTGATATGTGTGAATGTGTATATGTTTAAAAACTTTACTTAGCCTAAGCCCTTCCCCTTTGGCTGTATCAAAAGATAAACAAATAAATAAAATGCCAAATACAAACCATTTTGTCTAGTTTGTCAACTGTCTGCTGAACAACTGAATTCTGGACACCTACAATACACAGAACATTATATCCTTTATAAGTCGGCATACAAGAATTTTAGTTGCACATAAAGTTTGTAATTTTTTTCACAGACATAATTTCCCCCGGGTTGGTGTCAATGTGACGTCCAAAAATGTGCCCTCCCAGGCTCTTGACGATGTGCTACACTTGTAAAGGACGTAGAAGTGCTCTATCAGTTGTCAACAGCCATATGTTGCACTGATAATGACGCCAGCTGACATGTGGTGCGTGTGCATCATAGAATGTTTGCTTTCCAGGAAGTACTTGACCTCATTTAATGCAGCCTTCAAAATGCAAAAAACAAAACTAGCTTTCAACTTGCCTGTCCAAGCTTTTGAAGGAGAAGACGGGAGGTAGAGTAAGAACACAAGAACAAGTCTTGATGACAAGTTTCTCCTGGAATCACAAACCGCAAAATATCCACATGCATGTCCCACAGTACAACCAGAGTCTGGACTTGATTATCTGGTAAGGAAAGTAAGATGTGGCCCGCAGAGTTGTTTTTATCAGCGTCAGATGACGAGAGAAGTGAGTGATGAAAAAAGATAGGGGGGCTGAGATGACATCTGTTTGACTGCAGGAGGGGGGGCACATGTGAAATATCATATGTGAAAGACAGAGGATGCAACAAGCTGGAGAAACACAGCAAGCCATCCATATACAACAAGAATGAGTGGAATTCCAATTGAGCTTGAGGTAGGATTTTTTCCACAAACCAAAACAGTTGTTTGTGAGGCTGTGTTTACTACGTTCACATGGAAACGGCTAATGTGTTTGTTTTAGTGGCTAGAAACTGACGCAGAGCCATGCAAGTTCCCTGGGAAAATAGTTATGATTCAAATCATGTGGTTTGGTGAGGCCTGAATGGGCTCAAATTTGGATGCCAAAATTTAAACTAATAGTTTTTATCTGACTTTTCTTGTTACTTTGGAATTTTTTAAAGTAAGAGAAAATGTACCATACATACCTAAGTGGCTTTCAAATGCTCATGATAAGAACATAAAGTAAGATTCTTCAGAACTGCAACAACAGATGGGTCAAGCATGTATCAGTGGAGATAATTAAAGTATATGTGATCTCTGGTTAGGCTTCTGTCATTGTGTCTGCTGTACAGTTGTCTGTATATCTCCTTTGTATTGTGCAGTATGGGACAGCCTTTGATGTTGAAGTTTAGTAACAGGCACTAAACATGGACAGAACAGTTTGTTGTTAGAGAGAACAAAAAAATCCCTACTGGCTCTTTGTAGAAATGTTGAGGGGCCTCTCATTTTTTGAGCAACAGCTTATTAAAGGTTAAGTGATCAAATGTTGTGATGGTTAATCAAGGGAAAGTGAGATTCTGGCTCTCAAATGGTGGATCTGGACCCAAAAGTGGGTCGCGGAACTGTTTTCATGGACATTTTTTTTGTCAAAAAGTTCTGTCACGTCTTGTACTGTCCAATTTGTTTTTTTTTTTTTCATTAAATTAAACTGATTGGTTGAAAAATATCAGAAATTTTGGTTGGCAATTCTCATTAAGGAGTTGGTGAGGGGTCCTGAGGCTGGACCAGTTGAGAACCACTGCCTTAGAGTATTGATGAGATGTTGTTGGCCAAGTTCTACTAAGAATCTATAAATGGGACACACCCTGTGTGACACTTTTTTAAATAATCCTGCTCAGTTTTGATTTTTGTTAGCTGGACCTGTAGGTTAGCAATGACACAACCTATCTTTTATCCTGGTTATTGTCACAACTGAGAGAACTTGTTGTGAGTAAAAGAAGCTACCTGGGTTGCTCTTATCGGGGGATCTGGGCCCTCAAGAACATGGCATGATATATAAATATAAGAAAACAGTCACACGTTTGTTTCATCTGCTTTTTCTTTGCTTTCCTTGTGACATTGAAGCAGATGATTCAATTTAAACCACTATATATGGAGGTCACTGATTGGTTAAACTGCCCAGAGCCTGTAAACTGAGACACCTGTGATGAGTAGTGGCAGGAGTTTTTCTAAGTTTGAAAACAATTGGCAAACAGAAATGGCTGTTAACCTGCAATGTATTAGTATGGATGCTTCTACTGGATTGTCAAGGTCCAGCTTGTATATTCCTTTATTTTTTCTGTTAGAAAACATTTTGGAGCAATTTTATAGATAAAACCTTTGTCAAAATGTTGATGCAGTCACATTCTACTTTTACCTCCTTATATCTAGCTTCAAATATCAGTCCAGCCATCATCACAGCCAGAACGTGAGAGCCAGATTCAGCCTCCACCTCTGTTTCAGCAACACGTCCCAACCCAAGATCCCCCCCAGCCCCCACGAGATCAACAAATCCAGCTCCAGTCTGAGCTACAGCAACCAGAGTCTAATTCAGAGCACCAGCACCGAACAAAGTCAGCGTGGATTACCCTCCGGTGGCTGCTCCTCCTTCTCTTGGGGTTCTCCTTCGGTGCTGCCATTCTGGGAGTTATGTGCTACATGTATCACAATCTTCAAAACAGGAGCAAAAACCTAGAACATACTGGTAAGCCTCCAGAAAAACAATGGTTCCAAAAATTCAATATATGACTTTTCATCTGCCTCTTCTCTCACAAGTGTAAAAAAAACAATAAAAACAATGACATTAGTATTTACATGGATAATATAGACACTTCTTCTCTCTTTCCTGTAGAAACCCCATGTCTCTCCCAAGCCTGTCAGAGGGCCTCTGCCCGTCTGTCTATGTCTGCCGATCCCTTCAAGCAGCCCTGTGATTACTTCTTGTTCACATGCGGATCTGACAGACTCTCAACAGACAGTGGGGGGAGACAGAGAGGTCAGGGCATCCCTGGACATCCACAGAACCAGAAGGAAAGGGCTGTCTGGCCAGAACGAGGAGGGGGAACTAAAGCAATTCAAGACAAATGGCTGAGAGAGGAGAAACTACATGACAGGAAAACTACACTGCTGCAATATCTCAGAGAGATTTTGGGTAAGAGTGTGCAACCAGGAAGTGCATTTTATGGCTTTATCCTGTCTTTTTTTTCAGTTTATGTGAGAATATGATATTATATCTTAATTAATACTTTCTTCATCTACTTAGAATCAAACGACAGACCAGTCGGTACAGCAGTGCAGAAGGCCAAAGGATTCTATCGTTCCTGTTTAGACACCAAATCCATAGAGACTGCTGGAGCAGAGCCATTCCTTACACTCATCCAGAAAGTGAGCTAAATATATGATCTTGAACGAGGGCAGAACACTCAATCTAAATGAATTTCCTCCAGCACCGGCTCTACCTTGAGCTCAATGCAAATCACCAAATGTGAGTGAGCTAACAGGCCATCACAAGATGGCGAACATGTACTGGTAATTGTTTGTTGTAACATAAAAGCATTTTGAATCAGAACCTTGCATTTTGTTGCTGACAATTTGAAATTGTTTGCTTAATCTTTAAAGGACACACTGAGCTGTTTTGTTCATGTTAATACCAGAGCCTGTTCTCTTGTTCCTGCTAAGGCCTTCATCATCTCACTCTATATTTGCAGCTAGGAGGCTGGGCGGTATCAGGTCAGAGGAATCAGACTGATTTTAACTCCACCCTGAGATTGCTAATGAAGGACTACAGCACCTTTCCTTTCTTTAACCTCTATGTGGGCAGAGACCCAAATGAAACTGTCCATGGGACGACCAAAAGATACATACAGGCTAGTATCCATTAGGATAACTTGTCCTTACATGCTGGTGGGAGCACTGCCAAGAAAAAGTAGGCTTTGTGTTATTTTTAACTCAAGTCTCCTCTTTGTCCACAGATTGATCAGCCAGATCTGTTGATCCCGATTGAATGGAACAGCAAGACACAGAAGTCACAGGCTAGGACTCAGGTTGATGACTTAGAAAGACCTGTATTGATTAAGGAAATATGTTTCATGAAAGCAGCAATATCAATTCATCCCACTAATGCATTCTTCTGTCATTCCCCTGTCTCTTTTCATCCAGACATTACGTCCCTTTTTGGCATCTTGTCAGAGGTACTTGGCTTTGTTGGGGGCCCCACCCAAAAGCATCATGATCCATGTGGGCATGTTCATCTCTCTGTCCTCTGAGTTTGCGGTGGCTGCCTCACCTCTGCACTATCGCCTCTCAAAAGGCCAGCTATATCAGCGCATGACCATCAAACAGCTCCAGGTACTGGAGGAGGATGATGTGTCGCCACACACGTACACCATGTCTGAATCCTCAGTAATAACTGACTTGTTTGTTTGTGTAAATATGCCAACAGAGCCAAGCCCCTGCAATTGATTGGTTGGGCTGCTTGCAAGCTGCTTTACATCCACTGCCTCTCACAGAAAATGAACATGTCCTTCTGCATAACTTACCCTACATCGTGCAAATGTCCCGTATCATTGGCAAATGGCTGAGCAGGCATGAGCTAAGCACCAGGTACTGTAAGTGACAAAATACACCACAATTAGACATCTCTAACTGTCCCAGTCTTCATTTTTGACCTTTTGCAGTTTTATTTTTTCCTGTGCAGCAGCCCGCTTCATACTTACATGGTCCTCAATCTTCTGCACACAATGATGCCTGCTCTGGACTCCAGATTTTATGAAACAGCGAATAATTTGTCCGCATCCCTGGGTAACACAGATGAGGTGAGACAGTTCAGATGCATTATTCTGCCATTTTTCCAAAAGTTCACAGCCATAAGTTAGAGTTTTGCTTAAGATCTTCATTAAGGGTCTTTTTTACCAGGTAGCTCCACGCTGGACACACTGTGTGTTAGAGACTGAGAGAGGATTTGAATTAGTTCTTAGAGACCTACTAAGTCAAAGGACAGCACACCGAGATGTAAGTAGCAATAACTGGATTTGAATTTATGGGATTCAAAGCAAAAATATTGAAGGTTTCTCGTGTTCAACAGGTAGAGGAGATTATTCAAAACATATTTTCTGCCTTCAAATCCAAACTACATGAATTGAAGTGGACAGATCGGAATACTCTTCAGCAGGTCATGTATAAGGTAAAGACAAGACATGCCATGAATGTACTTTTCTTTTTGAAACTCCAGTGTTTTTGTTTTGATATCAATAAAGGTATTTCTTCCTCCAGGTTCAATCTTTAAATCCAAGACTTTGGACTACAAAAGAGAAGTCTGAGGAGGCTGAGCTTGACCTCCTTTTTTCAAAGGTACATCAATGATCTGAGTAGGCTCTAGCAAATGATTTATTAACCCTACTTCAACCCTCCCTTAACTGGAAACAAAGAATGACTGTAAGACCTGTGTGCTTTCAGGTTATGGTCAAAACAAATAGCTTCTTCTCCAACTATGTCCAGCTACAGTCATTGTGGCGAAACAGACGGACTCAGCTCTTGACTCAGCAGACAGAGGCGCCTGATATGTAAGTGTCTAACTTTTAATCCTAAAGTTGAGAAGTATGAATGTTTCAAAGATACATTTAATATTTTCTTGTTTTCTTCTAGTCTGTCTGTCACACCACTCCTTCTGGATGATGAACTCCTCTTTCCAATGGGAATGTTTGTCCCTCCTGTCTTTCATCCAACCTACCCTCGGTATGGAACCGATGATTTTAGAGCACTGTTAATATACTTCTGATTAAAAATTGCAGTTCTATATATTGTATTTTTCCACAGGGCGATGAATTATGCTGTAATAGGCTTTCTTATGGCCAAAGACATGCTCCATATGCTTCTACCTGACAGTAAGAAAAGCTTGAATGTTCCTACTATCTTAAAAATCATGTGCTCCTTACATTCTAAGTAAAAAACCTTGATAGTATACAGTTTTTCAGACACAAAAACTGTACACCTACAGGTTATGTATTGCATTATCGTATTAATCTCTCTGTTGTGGCAGTTTACTCTCAGAGTGAGACGGTGCATGCTGTGGGGGAATGTGTTTGGGCTCACTATCTCAATGTGGCAGAAAATGCAGAAAGAGGAGGGGGGTTTCTCTCTCAGTGTTGCAGCAGCAGGAGGTCTGGGTGCAGTATTCTGCACTGCAGATAGCATTGCAGGTAAGCAGCCATCTTCAGTCTTTATTCTCTGTGTACAATATGAAACACAATACTCACACGTCTAATACAACCTGTCGTCATCTTTCCTCAGGCTTATAATCAGGCTGTAAAGAATCATCTGCGTGAAACCTCCATCGCTGGACTATCACACACTCGTCTGTTTCTCACATCTTTTTCTCAGGTACAGTGCTTTATCCGGTTTCAATTTTTGTCTTCACATTTAAACTTTCAAGCCAATGTATTTATTAAATGTATTCTTTTACAGCTTAAGTGTGACACAGACACTTACCGTGAAGTCATGCCCTTGGAACCCTCCTTCTTGATTACAGTCTTATGTGCCACATCTGACCTGTGTCCTACAAGGCTACAATGCACAAGTAAAACCCAGCAAGTCTCATTAAAAACCTGCTGAATTCATCCCTCTGAAGAACAGAAGGTCTTTGTCGACCTGTAATATAGACATTTAACACACTGTGGACACTATTAAAGATGTTTAGGATAAACATGTACAATAAGAGAACTTACAGTAGCCTATGTTGAACCAAGAAAACACTGACTTCCTATTTATCTGTGGATATTAATATGATGTGTTTGTGTTGCTATATATTGTACAGGATGTTACTTACTCATGTTATTAAAATAAACATTTAAAAAGTAGTTTTCTCTTAATATTTTACTTTCTACAATGCAGTGGTGACACTGGTTCTGGAACAGCTGTTACAAAGCAACTAAATAATTGTTATTTTTCAAGATAAACAAATACAGTTAACAACCAGGCCATAATTGCCTGTTACACTTTCCGACATTTAGCTGGGTGGTAGTATTGACATTTCTTTCTGAAATATGAAATAGGCTTACAGCAAAAATGCGAGGAAAAGTCGGACCAAACACAGCCTCACTGAGGGACACACGGGGAAATGTTCATAACAACACTAAAGCCAGAGAAAATAATAACTCAAAGGTTATAAAACCAATTCTGAAACCTACTAAAACCCCGACTGGGAAGGGCCTCGGAAAAGCAGGAGCCAAACGTTTGGGCCGACTTCTGAAGAGAGCCATCCAGGTCCAGGAGGAAGAGTCCGCAGTGAAGGGAAAAGCAGCTCTGCCGAGTGAGTAAGCAGTTAGCTATTCAAAGCATCAAAGAAATGATCATCTACAGCAGCAAAAAGCTTCTACGAAGCTTGTTTTTTTTTTTCTTCTTTTCATGTGGTTTTGACAAACTAGTATTTTTTTAAAGTCGTATTTTAACTTGTTCCAGCCAAAATTAAGTGAACTAACTAAACTTTGGATGTAGAAACAGAGGGGCTACATTTACTTGAGTACACCAATCTAACGCTAAATAATTTGTATTGTTTTTGAGACTCACAAGGCAAAGTTTTTTTTCCCAATAGAAGTGCAAATTAACGAAAATATATTCACCCTGAATCTACTGGAGTAAACTTTTTTTTTTATTGTACCTTGTTAACTCTGCAACATTGTCAACCCTCTAACATTACTATTAAAAAATGGAAAACTATACAAAAATAGAGATAATGACCTCAGCAATGACTGGACTATACCGATTGCGTTTGTATCAAACTATAATACATTTTATAATTATCCAAGGATTATATATTTTTTCTTAAATCAACAAGTCAAATGCTGTCTTTTTTCAACAATATTTCAGAGACTCCTGTTCGCCTTTTTAAGTATCAGGTTCAAAAAGAGACTGAAAATGCACCCAACACAAAGCCTGCAAAGCCAGCATCGTCTCACATCTCCCAGCTCATCCTTAGTGTGGTTTGCCAATGCAAACACCGAGGTGGCATCTCCATGGCAGAGCTCAAGCACACACTGGCTGCAGGAGGGTACGATGTCACCAAAAACAACAAGAAGGTCAATGTGGTGACTAAAAGGCTGGTAAACAACGACAAAATTGTGCGAACTACAAGGAATGCATCATTCAGACTCAACAGCAAGGTAAAAGATGCTTTGCCTTTATAATTTGTCGACATGTTTTACTGTAAAGTTGGGCTTTTTAAACAAGATGCAACACTTAATGTCAAACAGAAGGGTGGGACATTGCTATCACAATGCTCTTTAGATGTTTTACAGTACGTAGTTTACATTGCGTAAAGAGGAATGTACTTATACGTTTCAATACATAGAGCCGCAGCAGTGTTCTCAATGTGAAGTGTTGTTTACCTTTTTTTCAGTGCTCAAAGTAGGGACTCAAAGGTTTTTCCTTTAAATACTAATCCAAAATTATATTCCAATTCTTTATTTCCCAAATAAAATCAGAAACAGACTGACACAAAGCAAGCAAGGACAGGTGGTGCGATACCTATGAAAACAAAAGGAGATCTGAAGCAGAACAAAAGTGCCAGCAAATCCCCCAAAGGAAAAAAAAAGTCACAGAGACCAGCCAGGAGGACTACCAAACATAAAGGCAAATCCAACAAACCAAAAGGCAAGGCTCAGAAAGCAGCAGCCAGACCACACAAACCAAAAGGCAAGACTCGTAAGCCAGCGGCCAAATCCCACAAACCAAGAAGAAAGACCCTCAAAGCAAGAGGAAAAACTGCAAAACCAGCAGGGAAGAAACGCGGATCTGCGACAAGCCGAGCAGCACAGGTTCGAAAGACTCCAAGGAAGACAACAAGGACTCGAAGACGTCGACCAAAGCAAAATCGTCTTCCTTATAAATCTTCACGGATAAAGAAACCACGAACAAGACAAAGGCTCACTAAAACCCGGTTAAGAAAAGCACCGAAACGTCGGGTTGCCGTAAGAAGAACTTACTACTACTAGAATTAACATGAAGACAAATCCATTTTGAGCTGTAATAAACTCCAACCTGATCAGCAAAGTGAAATCATATCTTTTCTGTTGATGTAAAAACTGTGTTGAAGGTTTTCCTGTTACCATTTTTCTCATGGAATTCATGTAGCACATAATTTCATAAAATGTTGCATCAATTTAAGATAAACATTTGTTCTAATCTATATAGAAGAAAATCACTCATTGTTTGGTTATATATTTCAATATAATTGCACTGATTCAAAACTCAGCAGTAGCTGAAACTGATATAAAAAAAAAACAGCCAAGTGAAAATGAAAAGGGAACAATGGATACAGAAACATTTGTTTTTCACAACATCAGTGTGTAACATGATACTTTTTTGTAATCCACATAGTATCACTAGCAAAATTGTCATTTGGCCAACTGCTTGCAATATATCCATTCTGAGTTCTAATGTCCATGTTTCTCTCTGCCTGGTAACCATCAGTCGTTCTCTGACAGTTTGTCACAGGACACCCCACACTTCCTCAAAGGCAGAGCACATCTTGGCACAGGTCAGTGCCCCTGAAAGTGGGTAGTTACTGATAGACACGGTCTTCTCTGTGTAGTCCACATTCACCTAATAAAGACAAAGAAATCAGTAAGACAGACAAAAATTTGGAAGCGGACAACAGTAAATCATAATCTGGAGATTTTTTTCTCACCGCTCCATGAGCAAATGCTCCGACCACCACTGCAGCTGGTCCATCCGGCACTAAAGTCCGAGGGCAGACAGCCTCTCCAGCAGAGAAGGAGGTGGTAATGCGTGGGCAGCCAGGAGGCAGATGGTCAGACACTGGGTTTTTAATCATCCTCAGAAGCTTTTGAGGACCATCAGCGGCCCTGACACTCAGCTTGTGCAGGAGCTGAACTGAGATGGAAAACACATTTGAGTAAAATTGACTGATCTAGATATTCTATTCAATTCAAACATTCACTTAACATTTAACATTGGTAGTTTACCCATTAGGCCACAGAAACGAGTGAAGGTTCTTGGGATGCGTGTCTGTGGGTTGATTTCTATTAAGGCGTTTTTCTCTGTGTGGATATAAACCTGCAACAGGCCTGCCCTGTTCAGTGGACTGTCCATCAACATGAGCAAGCACTGGGGAAAGAAAGAACAATCATTTAAATGTGCTCATATTATACGCTCTTTTATAGAAGGCAGATCTTTAACTTTAAAGTAAAAAAAAAAACAACTGTAAAAAGAAAGATACATCATTAGGTTATTTGAAGAAAAAGATATGTATATATAAACCCAAACAAGAGTCCATTAACTCAATAAGCATGACAACACTCTCGGATGGTTGTCATATTATGTAATGACGACCCTTTTATAACCCACAAAGGTACATAAACACTATTCGTTTGTCTGAAATCAGAACTCACCTGGTGGGTGATATCTGGTCGTATGTGTCCCGGATTCCTTCCACTTTTGACGATTATATTTTTGTGTTGGTCACAGTTTAACAGCTCAAATGTTTTTCCAACCTGGGAAAAAATCCAAACACGCAACAACAACATGTTAAAAGTTAACGTATTGTAAAATCAACCACACGTTAAAGGCATGGTGACTGAGGTGAGCAGCAGCAGGTAGATCACAACAACACTCAAACACACTCTTTTACCTTCACTGTTTCTAACGAGGCTCCCTCCAGAATCACAACCAGCCTCCTCTCTGCCATACGGTCATGTAGGCTGCGAAGGTGTTTGGCTGGTTTTGGTTCATATTCGTCCAAATGTTCAAGACCACGCTTCTTCCCATCAGGAGCCGCCATGATTCTTTTGAAATCGTTTGGACTGTCGCTGTATGTCTACGTCACTGTAAAGCGCGTGTTCACCGAGTGGGTACTGCCAAAGGTACGACTAAGTTGATTATTACTGACTTTGCCCTTTCCACTAATCATAATAATAATGTGATAACGTTAAACTTTGTCTTGTATATTTTGTTAAATTTGTTTAAACCATAGACTGTATAGACCACATGCGCGCGCACGATCGCGTTGTCCTTGCGTCACTGCCGCGCGCCGGATGTTCTTCCACAGCGTGTGGAGGAAAAATTCACGTGTGGTGGTTTTTTTTGCTGTTCACTGCGTAGAAATTATATCTGAAACAAAAAACAAAAAAACAACGGATTTATCGGTGAGTATGTGACGTTTTTATCTGAGCTCATGAGACAAAAAAAACCAAAACGTGTTAACTCTGATAGTGTTATGAACGTCTTGTTCTTGGTCGACACTTCAAAACACGACATGCGGAGTCGGGTCCACTCGTGTTCCGTGTGTAACTCGTCTTTTCCGTCTATTCTGTCATTATTATGTCAGTGCGAATCTGCAAAAAGTGTTTGAAATCCGTGTGGTTAAACATCTGGAGCTGTGTATTCATTTACGTATGCAAGTCCATCAAAAAATAAATATAAAATATAAAGTAGAGGTTAAAATAAAACACGTCATTATGTTAAACAGACAGGTATACTGTTGTCAAACTTTATGGCATTTCTCTTGATTAATCCTCAATAAACCCTTTCAAAAAGCGTCTTGACAAAGGGGAAAAGTACCACAATAGAAGACATTGAAGAAAAGTTATTAAAACAGGCCAGAAACAAATGGAACAAGTTAATTTATTAAGACAGTTAAAAGAGTCAAAGTTACAGAGTAGTTGTATAATTAAAATGAATTAAATCATTCAAGTATATATATTTTTTTAATCAGAGGCAGCTGTTAACTGTGTTTCAGCCGACCTGCAGATTTCTGGACATAAAGCTACAACAATGATGATAACCTCTTATTAGTCATGAGCTTTGTTTTGATTGCCCTAAATAAATGCAGTCTTGGTTTCTCTACCAAAAACAAACTTCTTCGTGTTTGTGGATTTTTTTAAGATAAGATAATCCTTTATTTATCCCACAACGGGGAAATTTACATTGTTACAGCAGCAAAGAGCAAAAAGTGAACAGAGTACAATTTAAATAAGAAAAGAAAAATGTACAAAAAAGATAGATACCACAATAACAAAACAAAAAAAATAGATCACCTTCTGTCAGTAAAAGTCCATAAACAATTAACTGCTTTGTCTAAGAAAAGTCGTGGTGTTGTATTTGTTGCTCTTCACTGGATTAATTACAGCAGTTAAATTGTCACATGCAGGCTTTCATCTGAACATATCTCACTTTTATTTTCCGTTGAAATGAACATGCTTGAAATTAAAACCACATGCAAAATATCTAAAAATGCAGTGTTATTAGTTATTACTATTAAAGGAATGGGATGAGACAATGACAGATTGTGGGATGTGTTGATGTTAAACACTGTATGGTGTAATGCACTGCATGTTTTATATGTTTAGGTACATGTGATGGTTTGTGGTTCACTGCATGGGGCTTAGGTCATCTTGGAAGCGAATCAGTCCCAACGGAGCCGAGCTTGATCTAAAGGCAGTGCAAACAGTGACCTCTGTTTATTTTCTATTCTTTAAATTTTCAGCTCTGAGTCATGGGTCGAAAGTTGGATCCCACCAATAAGGTGAAAAGAGGGCCCGGGAGAAAATCACGAAAGCAGCAAGGAGCTGAGACAGAGCTGGTTAAGTTCATAAAAGACGGTAATTATTCCACCCTTCATCTCTGCTATTTACAAAGACTCTGGACATCTCTGTTGTCTAGTTGTACAACTCTCTAACTTGCAGACTGCATAATCATAGTTGGTGTTTTTCTCTGTTTGCAGAGGAAACCGAACCAAAACGCCTGTCAAGTAGAGGCAGAAAGAGGTAAAAAGTTGAATGATTATAAACCACTAAATAACACAACTCTCTTCACAAGATACTAATTTGTTTTGTCAATTTCCAGAGCTGCAAAAAGAGTTCAGACTTCGAAAAAGCCTAAAGATGCTGCAAAGGAACAGCCCAAGAAAGGTAACCACTTTATTGTGACATGGTTGGGATGTTTTTTGTGTACAGAAAATCATGCAATACCTACCAAGCATCTGAAGAATATAACGTGTATTTAGCTTGCATCACATTTTAACCACACTGATGTTAAGTTTTCAAGTCTATTGGTGCGTTCCATTACCTCGGATTTTGAAGCTGGGAATGACGTCACACTCGAGTTAACCCTGTTCCAGTTGCAGGTCGGACAAGCAACACGGATGCCTCCAAGAGTACCTTTGTATTGTTAACTAATACCTGACGAAAACAAAACACTATGTGATAGTTTGCACGAAAAGAACCACGACAACATGTCTACTGATAGAACTTGCAAGATCGTTCCGGTGTGATTGATTTAATTACACAAAAAGTGGACGAATCTGCTTTATAAACACTATAGTTCTAAGTTAAACGTTACTGTTGATGCACATAGCAGCCATGTTGGATTTTAAGTCAGACTACTGAAGTTGCTCTGAGTTTCCGAGTCGATATTTCCTTCAAGGAGGCGTTCCTGATGACGTATCAGACCGGTAACTTGGAATTTCTACCTCCAGGATCAAATGGAACGCACCATAAGATATCTGCAGTTTCTTGTTGGCATTTTAAGAGAGAAACATTTTATTTTTATTTTCTAATTAACAACCTTCATTTTCAGATAAAGTCCTTGGATTGTTTGTTATTCTAAATCATCCGTTTTTTTATTTCCCGTCTCTGTTGGACTAAAGGATTCACTGACGAGAACAGTAAATGGTTGAAACCCGTGAAGAGGAAGCGCAAACTTGATGAACCTGAAAGTGAGGATGACAGTGATGAACACTGGGAGGAGGATGATGATGAGAATGAGGAAGAGCAGCAGGAGCAGAAGGGAGAAAAGGGAAAGAAGGGTTCCAAACTAGCAGTCAAAGAAATGGAGGATGAGGAGGATGAAGAAGATGATGATGATGATGAAGAATTGGTTGATGACTATGGTACTCTCGAAGATGGCAGTGGTGAGGAAGAGAGTGATGGAGAGGAAGTAAGTGTTGTGAACTTGTTGTGAACTAAAGCTTTGTTTGATGTATTGAATGATGGAAATGATTAAAATTGTGATTCAGGCGTCAACGTTTAACTATGAGAAAAACTGATCATTTGGCGGTTCAGTCCATGATTTCAGAATAGAGACTAAAAAAACGCCCACCCCTGTTGATGGTTATAACCAGGCCATTGGTTCTCGCGTTCAATCTGAACAGTGTATCTTTCACAGACGATGGGGTTTTAATGTGCTGAATATAAAGTTTATATAAAACAGTGACTAATGTCCTTTTATTTTTCATTCAGCTTCTTCCCATTGAGCGGGCAGCCAAGAAAGCCAAAAAGCAGAAGGAAACATTGCCTCTTGGAAGTGATGATGATGATGATGATGATGAGGAGGAGGAGGAATGATGATGATGAGATGATGACGAGGATGGTGAGGAAAAGAAATCCGATGAGGACATGGAAGAGGAAGACACAGTTCAAGCCAACATGGATGAAATGGACCTGTTTAGACTACCGGGGGCAGAGGAAAGTGAGAAAGAAGGTGAATGAGTTTTTTTTTTCTTCTTTTAAATCTCTCAGATTTTTTCCTCTTTTTAATGCACATAATTGAATATACTAAAACAAGGTCTCATCTTTATTTGTTTACATTTTAGGTATCCTGCCTCTCGACCTGAAGACGATCCATCAAAGAATAAAAGACAATATTGACGTGCTTTGTAATTTCTCGACAAAGAGGGAGGAAGGGAAAGAGAGAGCAGAGTACGTCTCTCTCCTGAAGAAGGATCTCTGTATGTATTACAGCTACAACAACTTCCTGATTGAGAAGTTAATGGACCTCTTTCCTCTCTCAGAGGTGCGTGAATGATTCAACTTTGATGTTCTCAACATTCCTGGAACTTTTCAATGTAGCAAACTGAAATATGTATCTGTTGTCATGACCTGATTGAAATTCTCAGCTGCGTTAAATAACTTTTTTCTTGTTCATTTTTTATATTTTGCCTACAGCTGGTTGACTTCCTTGAGGCCAATGAAATTCAGAGACCTGTCACTATTCGGACCAACACACTGAAAACAAGGAGGCGGGACCTTGCACAGGTAACTGTTTTGATACTTCATATTTCTTCACTCTGTAATAACTGCAGAGACAAGAATGAAACAGTCAGGGTAATCATTTCAGAATAAAAGTGACGGGCCGTGGGGATAAGTGAAATAGATCATCCAGGTTTAGCTTCAGGTTTGAATTTGTCATAAACACATTCATGATTTAAAGGAGAGAGTCTAATAACCCCATGATGCAGATAGAATTGTTCAGAGTCAAACGCTTTATTCATGTGCTCTTACTGTTTGTTGAACTCTAACAAAATTTGTTTTTAGGCCTTGATCAACCGAGGGGTGAACCTTGATCCACTGGGGAAATGGTCCAAAGTGGGTTTGGTCATCTATGACTCATCAGTTCCAGTCGGTAAGTTTCATTACATTCAAGTCAACTAAAAAATCTCTGTTTGATAATACAAACCTGTCTCCTGAGAATTTCTGTGAAATGTCAATAATTACAATAAGTGATGATTTTCAAAAACATTGAAACCCCATGTTTGAATGAAAATAGCACAAAGACATCATATCCAATGAGAAAGCTGAGAGATTATTACATTGTTTTTTTTAAAGTCTGTACCAATGTTGAACGTGACGTCAGCAACACATTTAAAAAGAAGTTCCTCCCTCTCCGAGATGCTTTTAAAAAAATAACCTATCATAATAATAATAATAACCTGTTGCCAGTTAACCTAATTAATTATGAGATGTTCCATGGAGTTTTTAATTCACAACTTTTCCAGCCTTTTGTTTACCAAAGTCCAAACTTTATTTCAACTTTTTGATGGTTAAAATGAACATTGGGCGTATAAGTTTCCAAAACGATGACATTCTACAGTTTCACCAGTTGTCATGTTCTCTTTGTTTTATTTTCAGTCACATACGGGGTTTTATTTACATTTGACACAATGTCTCAACTCTTTAGGACATCGATTGTATCTAAGGCGGCTGACTGTAGACTCATGAACTTTAACTCTAATTCTTCCTGTGTTTTTTTAAATCAGGTGCAACCCCAGAGTACTTGTCTGGTCAGTACATGCTGCAGGGAGCCTCCAGCTTTTTGCCGGTGATGGCGCTCTCTCCACAGGAGGGAGAGTTAGTGTTAGACATGAGCTCAGCTCCAGGAGGCAAGACCACATATATCGGTAAGATGTGCTGTAGTTACACTTTGTATTTGAATGAGCGATTCCATCCTCTACTAACAGTTATTCCGATGAGATCCCAACATGGAGTTTCAAACTCTTTCATTGGTCCAATTATCAGTGTAAAGCACAAAAACACTCCGTTTGATATCATATGTGACAAAGAAATGTTTTAACATATGAACTACTGAAAATTGAATAGAAGCCATTCTTGATTATCAAAATAGTTGCACATGAATTTAAAGAGAAATAGCAAATAACAGACCAATGCAAATCCAATCTTTTCTCACATGTAGAATCAACGTGTTTAATGATGTATTTGTTTGTCCCACCACCAGCCCAGCTCATGAGAAACACTGGAGTGATCGTTGCTAATGACGCCAATGCAGACAGACTAAAGAGTGTGGTGGGAAACATCCACCGCCTGGGGGTCACCAACACTGTTGTCAGCAACTATGACGGGAGACAGTTCCCAAAGGTAACATTTACTGAAATACTTGGTTTACATTAACATTAAGAGTTTGTCAGTGCACTGACTGGTGTGTGTTTTTTTGCCTCCTGCAGGTTATGGGTGGGTTTGACAGAGTGCTGCTGGATGCTCCATGCTCAGGCACAGGAGTCATCGCTAAAGATCCTGCTGTGAAAACCAGCAAGGTAAATCCACTCACTCTTAATATTTACACGCATACTGTCTGTGTCATAGCCTTAGATGTACATAGTATTTAATCCCTCTTCTTTTCCTTCTATTACCTGACAGGACGACGCAGACATCCATCGTTCTGCTCACCTGCAGAAGGAATTACTTCTGTCTGCCATCGACTCGGTCAATGCAGAGTCCTCCTCAGGAGGATATCTGGTGTACTGCACGTGTTCAATAATGGTATGTTCTCTACATGTAGTTTTTATGTTTCATGTCTTTTTCATTCTTAGATGTATTTGTTTGTAGATGAAAGTGTTTAGCAGAAAGGCTTTTGCATTAATAAAATATATATTTCACCAGGTTGAGGAGAATGAATGGGTGGTGGACTACGCTTTAAAGAAAAGAAACGTCAAATTGGTTCCCACAGGACTCGACTTCGGCAAAGAAGGCTTCACAAGGTAAAAAAGAAAACCTGTTTATGTTACTGAAAGGCCGGTACTTTGATCTTCAATCTTAAAATGTATTTTTCTCCTTTTGTTAAGGTTCAAAGAACGTAGATTCCATCCCACTCTTCGCCTGTCCAGGCGTTTTTACCCTCATTCCCACAATATGGACGGGTTCTTTGTGGCCAAGTTTAAGAAGTTCTCCAATGTTATTCCAACTGCACCAACGGGAAAAGGTAACACTTTCTATCACAAGCAAACATGTCCACGTCTATCATGAAGGTGTCATTGTTTACCTCAAACTGAACTTCTCTTGTTGTTATTTATTTAGAAGAAGAAAGTGCAGATGCTCCCGATGCAACAGTTGTTCCAGACTCTCCTGAAGAGAAACCCTCCAAAAGTGACACAACGAAGAAGACTGTCGCCGGCAAGGCAGGCAGCCTAAAGGGGAAAAGCCAAGCCAATGGAATGACGGCCAAGAAAGCAGAAAACGTCAAGCCAAAAGGCAAGAAAGACTTACCTGCTGGACCGAAAAAGGCGAAGATGGCCAAAATGGATGGAAAGACGGTAGAAGGAGCGAAGGCCAAGAAGAAGACTGCATCAAAGACTGCAGACGGAACAAAAGAACAAAAGGCTGACAAAAAGGACAGCAGCAGATTTGAGAAAAAGCAGGGCATAAACAAAAAGTCCCCCATGAAAGCAAAAAAACGAATTGGAAAAAACAAGTTCAGAAAGTTGAAAGTCTTGTTAGGAAAACAAGATGTAGAGTGATGTGTACAGTGTGATGAAGTGATGAGGGTCCCTAAAGACCCTGATCACCTGAGTTAACAAGTCATCAGCTCGGTTGTCTCTGTTATTTAAGAGCAGTAATTCTGAATATGTCAGTCAGATATGGTTGTAATGCCTGTGTACAAATGATTTTTACTGGTTAATGATGGTGTCACTTCAGTAAGCTCCTACGTTCCTCTGTTTGTATAACAGAATGTTCGATATGTTTGTATTAAATTGCAGAATGGGATGTCCTCCAGTAATCTGTGAAAAAAATAAATGTTTTAAGACAATTTTTTTTCCAATCACTTGTTTGATTCCTCATTTATTGGTCAGTGTGAGGTTTAGTTGTCTTAAGTTCCTCTGAATCAGACTTGCACGATTCATTGACATACCAGCATTAAGCTGACCATCTTTTATTAAATGTAGACCTTAAATATTCATATTTTCACTTTTTGGTTTAGTTTTGAACAGACATTTTTAAGTTTTGGATATCTGTAAAAAAAAAAAAAACAACAACAATTGTTTGTAGTTTTAAAAATTCAATGTGTCCTTACGTTCAGTTGAAATTGACTATTTTTAAGTTAGTATTATGGTTTTATCTTTATCTTATTTTATCTTAAATAAGAGTTTTTATTTGTTAGTATGTAAACAACTAAAAAAAAACGAGAGCTTTGCATGTATTTAACGTGTTACTCATGAAACATATTTATTTTTCCGCTATAAGAGAATACCATAGACTGTAAATATTAAGAAGAAAACCATATTAGTAAGAAGCAGCTCTCGCGGTTCTCTTCTGATGTTGTTAAAAGTGTGGAAACAACCAATCACAGTGGTCCATTTTGGACCGGAAGCTGTGTTGTTTACATTTCTAAGATGGCGGCGGGGATGTATTTGGAGCATTATTTGGACAGTAAGCTTTTTTTATCATGACTTTTAAGTGTTTGACATTACACAACCCGTCCTCGCTTTTTTAATGGGCAGTGTTGCAGTTTGTAATGTAGCTCTAGCTAATCATCGCGCTTAAAAATACAATGCTTCACCCGTACTCCAGCGGTCTGTGGGTCTGGGCTCAGTCTAATTGCTGGGAAACCAGATCGCACCTTAGTGAAGAAAGGATGCTGTTTGAGATTCAAAGTCACATATATGCTACTAAGCTTTAGTAATATACTTTTTCATTTAAGTGCAGTTTGTACATTCTGTGTGGCCCTTCCTGTTTACTGCTTTACGAGAACAAAACGTTAATTGCAGCGCGTTTGATGAGCCAACCAGAGTGTTTTCATTTCCCTGAATGTTACATTTTGATTCCCCTTTAAATGCAAATTGGCTTTTTTTTTTTTTTTTTTTTTTTTTTTGTCTCTCTGCAGGTATCGAAAATCTGCCATTCGAGTTGCAGAGAAACTTCAATTTAATGCGGGATCTCGATCAACGCACAGAAGGTGAGAACATCTAACAATGTCTTCACTAATTGGATTTTATCTCTTTAAAATCTCTTAATCCAATTTATTCTAATACAGGATTATTTTTTTCTTTCCCCCCCATGATTTTCCTTTTATTGTGTTGTGATGTAGTCATCCTTTTTTATACAACCAATGCTTAAACATGTGATGTGAAGCTACAAGTAGGCATTTGTTCATTTTAAAGGTTAAAAAATGTTGTTTTGTGAATCACTGATAAATAGTTCAAAACTGAATATGTCACAAACCTACCTTTACGGTCTATACTTATTAAGAAAACACGTTTTGTTATCATCTCCTTTGTCTGTGTTTAAGTTGAGTGGTGTTTCAGTGTGTTCAGTATCTTTCCCTTGAAGCTCAACATGAACTGTTTTGCTTCTCTTGCAGATCTTAAAGGACAAATAGACTCTCTGGCCAAAGAGTACACAGCCAACGCTCGGACTCTTTCCTCAGAGCAAAAGCTGTCCATACTGAGGCAGATTCAGCAGTCTTACAGTAAATGCAAAGAGTTTGGAGATGATAAGGTACAGCTGGCCATGCAGACCTATGAGATGGTAGGTATCTTAAGAGGGGAATGGTTTATAATTACCAAGAGTGGTAGAATTTGTGTGTACACGTGAACTGGCACATCAATCAATGCGCTGATTTTCTGTTTTCTGCAGGTTGACAAACACATTAGACGTCTTGACACAGACCTGGCTCGGTTTGAGGCTGACCTGAAAGAAAAGCAGATTGAGAGCACAGACTATGATTCCACCTCAAGCAAGGGGAAGAAAAGTGCGTACACGTGTATCGTATTTGCTAGCGTTTTAAAATTATTAGTATTATTCATGGCGAACGGTTTGAGCCATGAAATACTCAAATAAGTGTATAATAAAAGTAATTGTGTTGTTTCAGGTGACTCCAGACAGAAGGAAAAGAAAACGGCTAAAACAAGGTCTAAAGTGAAGAGCTCAGATGAAGATAGCAGTCCCAAGACTGCACAGAAGAAAGTCAAACTCCTCCAGCCGTAAGTTGTGCATCTACCTGCTCATGATGGCGTGGTGTTTACTTTGATGCTCAAAGTTATTCATCGTTGTTTGACTTATGATCATGGCAGCCATTCTGTTTCTCACTTGCAATTCGTCTTCCCATCAGAGGAGAATTCAACAGCCCAACGGCCAATTTTGGGAATGTGCACCCGTCTGATGTGCTGGACATGCCGGTGGACCCCAACGAACCAACATACTGTCTGTGCCATCAGGTCTCTTACGGCGAGATGATTGGATGTGACAACACTGATGTGAGTTTTGATCAGTCAGTCCTGAAGATACCTTGAGATTCTTATTTATTAAAAAACACTTTTATTTTTCTCTTTAAAATTTCTTGTGGTGGAAGTTAGAATCCCTTTTAGAAAATAATATTAATAGATTTACTTTATATAGCGCCTTATAAGGGACCAAGGGTGCTTTACATGGTGCAGGGACCAAACAAAGAAAATGAAATGTTCCCTGTTGCTTGTGAGTTGAAATAAATCGTAAAATAGTTAATTTTATTGTTTGTGAACTTTCAAAGATACCTCAGAAAAATAATATTTTACAGAAAGAGACTTGTGGTCTAAATGCATGATTTTAAATAAGGTTGTGACATTGAGCTCATGAGCAATTATTAAAACACAAAGCCAGAGAATGCATTAATCATAGGGCCATTTAGTTTCAAAGGCCTGTCCAAAGAAATTATTTGTATTTTTTTGAAATTATCACATTTATCTTTATCAATAATACTGACTGTACAGTGAGTACAAACACACCCACCTCTACTTTAAATACATTTCCTGGATGCCAAAGTAAATCAATAAAAAAAAACAAGAGAGCATATAAGTCCTGTTTTAAATACAAGATAAACCTCTATTTAACCCACAACGGAGAAATGTACGGTACATATATAAGCGCCATGTCTGTGAGTGAGTAAAGTAAAAAATGTAAAATAAAAATACCTATTGCCACATGACATTGTGTTGTCATGGTTACAGAGAAGTCAGCAAAGTGCTGTGCCATTGGTATTTAACCATTTCGAGCCCTTGCAGCCTTGTGCATTTAATCACTTTCCAGGTGATGTCAATTAATTCCATAAGGGCTCAGGGTTCAGGGAGGACATGCTACAGTCTCATGAAGCGTCCACTTTGTAAAAGGTCACAGAGGTTGGAGCAAGTGCTTAATAAGACAGATGCCACATAGCAACCATAAAAGATTTGTGTTGATGTGGTTTTTTTTGTTTTGTTTTTTTACAATATTTCATTAGTGCCAAGTGCTCAACTCACAGGAATACCTAACGGTACTTTCTTTCTTTACTCCAGTGCTCCATTGAGTGGTTCCATTTTGCTTGTGTCGGCCTGACAACAAAACCAAGAGGCAAATGGTAAGAAAGAAAGTAACAAAATGGACCCTGTAATGTTGTTTCAAATAAAGGTATGAATTGTTTCTGTTGTAGAAATATGTCATACTGTGACTGTTGTCCTTCATATGCAGGTATTGTCCACGATGCTCTCAAGACAGAAAGAGGAAATAAAAACACCTGGTTAACCTGGAACAAACATGGACTCTGGGCAGATGGAGACGGAATATTTCTTCATTAGTTACTAGTATTTTTGTTCTCATCTTCCTTAACATTTGGTGCTTTTTCTTTCAGTTTACATAATTTGCCTTGGTCTAATGCAGTGTGTGTGTGAAGGAGCTAAGTGGTTACAAATGTATTTAAATATTGTTTTTTTTTTTTCTTTCGTTACTTTTGCTGTTAACTTTATTTTTTTAAGTTCCCTTTGGTGCTCTTATTGTGACTTTTTTTTTTTTTTTTTTTTTACAGGTGCAAAGTAAACACTAAAACTGCTCTAAATGGTTAAACTTTTCTAAGGTGACATTCAGCATACACATGTAAATCTCAAAACAGTCTGGACATGAATATTCTTTTTGCTTTGTTGAATGGTTAGTTTTTTGTGCTTAGCCTTGGTACACTAGTGTAATGATTTAGATATGACAGGAAGGCAAAAAATGAATTTAAATGCTGCATAATGACAGTATTAGTCGACTGTGGTAGTGAGTTTCACCATTTCATTTTTAACATTTGATTGAGTGCTGTATAGAAAGTAAGACATTCAGTGGAAAACATTGTCATTTCTGTAGCTGAAACATTGGTACAGGGAGAGGGGGTGCTTGTGTTGTCAATCATTTGAATACAGCTACTACCTCAAAAATGTTGCATTTGTGTTTCTTTGTCCCTGACGTCTTCATAATGTGAGTTTAACCAGATAGCGTTGAATCCATGTTGTAATGTTCTCTATTGTCCAATGGGTGGCAGCGTCGTGTTAAACCTCTCTGGTGAGACCGTCCCCACGTTGTGACGTCAGAGTGTCGAGGCTTTGGCGCGATGTGCAAACAAATTTGAAAAAGCTGCGGATTCAAACCCGCTCACACACGGTAACGTAGAGAGGACTGTACTGAAGTTTTAGGAAGAGAAAGTCGTGGCTGACGGAGCAGCAAGCGCCACAGGTGAGCATGAGTTTCCAAATCGGTCATATTGAAGTATTTGTTATGTTTAGCTGGTTTTTTTTGTTTGTTTTTTTACCTGTTAATAAAGTTGCTCGATGGAAGCTAGTTAGCATGCTAACTCAACCAGCAAGGACTGTGCTCACAATAACAAAGCTGCACTCAGTGTTCAGCTACGTCTACATTATTGTGTATTGATTTTAAGCTTCTAGACTAAGTTTGAAGAAATTACTAAATAATCTTGTTGATTTAAAAAGATCGAGGTTTTGACTTTACATTGATTTGTGCCAACATTTAAATAATACTTTGACTCTGTTCAGCCTTCATAGCTCTCGAAAGTTGGCACATTACCAGATTTTTTTTTGCAGGCAAACCTATTGTTTCTTTGTTTTTGTTCTTCTCTTGACGAAAGGCATGTCGTGGGACTTTTGTGTACCTGTGTGCGTGGGTGACTTGGTTAAAACCGGGGGGATCAACCAGTACGTGGTTCAGGATGTGGTGTCCCCAAAACAGCTTCCACCCTACATTAGCAGTAAGTAGTCACTTTTAAAAGTTCTGAGGCTTTCTCTTTGTCACACATTTTCACTCTAGGCTGCTCCGTTTCTGACATAAGTGTCTTCTCTCTCTCACACACAGAATTCAAGGCAGCATTGCGAAGCCAAGGTCCTTTGTGTATACTGGAGCACTTTGATACAGGCTACAGCGTGCTTCAGTAAGTATTGATCATGTCATTGGGACATGGCTTGCTTTTTTTGTTGTGCTATTAAAACCCATAATTCAAAATGACTGTCTTACTTTTTCAGGCACTGCAACTCAGCAGAGCGGGCTGTGAAAGAGGATGCTTTGGAATTACTGGTGCAAGGTAAGACATTATATTTTCGTGTCTCAGTTTGTTAAAATTATAACCCCCTAAAATGCTGAAGGTGAAAACACATTTTTTTTTATTTCTTTTCTTTTCAGTGGTTAGTGGCCTTGCCGCTACGCTCCCCTCGCTTTTTGTCTCCACCTCGGTCTCTGCTGCAGAGCGCAAAGAGAACCTTAATGCAGTTAAAATGAGTGTCTACCTGCTCTGCAAGCTAACAGAGACCCTTGAGAGTGAATCCCACAGACAGAGTATAATCACAGCACCTGGGAAGGTAAGAACTATAGCCAACTTTCAGTTTGACGCCTATGAAAGTGTTTTGTGTTAAACCATTTTTAATGCCCACTGATGAGATTATGGCAAGTTTGATGATCTACTAAGACCAAGAGATTGTGGACTCTTACCTGCTGATTGATGGGTAGTCTTGGTAGTGTGATGGAGTTTTATTGCATGGCTGTAAGGGCCCATCCACAGTGAACTTGTCGCCTTCTGCAACGTCTGCCACCCCAAGAGCAATGGGACTGGACAGTTGGGAGGTGTCAAACAATGTGCAAATGTTTGTTTGTGTCTGTTGTTGTATGTATGTATATGTATCAGCTTGTAAGGGTCTATATACTTGGTCTCACAGAAATGAACTACTCTTTGGTAATCTGAGGGCACGTATGTAGCATTCAATTGTGTCAATCCAGACTTTATTTGGTCGACTATCTGAGTCAAGTTTCTCTGAAGCCCAACTGTTATAACTTTAAAGTGTTTTTGTCTTGCACAGGGAGGTAAAAAAGGCAAAGGTGGTGGAGAAGGAATTCTGCAATGGGACTCTGAGAGAGAGACGGTGCTGCAGGCCCTTGTTCAGCTCCTTCAGCTGGATATCCGTTCCCTCTGGAACCTCTCCCTTGTAGAGGAAGAGTTCATCAGGTACTCTTTACAGAATGGGGAGCTCTGGGCAAAAGTGTCAGGATGAGCGGTCTAAATTCACTTAGCTGTGTCATTTCCCATTCTCTTCTCCGGATCTCTGCCCAGCATTGATAGCATTGTCGCCTTAATTTGAGTTTATGTGAAAACTACCCTTTCCTCGGCCTTGATTATGCCTCACCAAATCTAATTGGGTCAAAAGATCTTGGAAATGGTTTCCATTGTTATTATTTCCCCACAGCCTTGTTATTTAAAACCAATCACTAAGAATGTTAAAAGTAGTTTTTAGTTATTTAGTACAGGGAGGTCTTAAATATGTAATCTTAAACCCCATCAAAAATCTATATATTGTTGTGCAACATTTTTTATTAGCTACATAATATTTTAAGTTCAGCCTGACCATTGATCTTGGCTGCAAGTTATTTTTTGTGCAGGATTTACCACAACCAAAAATGTGTTCTATGTTCTGCTTCCTTTTTTCTTAGTTGTGTGACCTGCTGTTGCTACAAACTAATTGAGAACCCAACCATCAGCCATGTCAAGAGCAAACCCACCAGAGATGGAATAATCCACCTTCTGGGATTGCTTATCAAGAAGTACAATCATCTCTTGGGTTAGTTTCTCAGTCACATTCTGAACTGTTGGGGCATGGGAGTCCTGATTTATTTAAGAATATAATGTATAATGTTTCGATCTTTGCATAACTCTTACAGGAGCAAGTGTGAAGGTGATCCAGTTGCTGCAACACTTTGAACAGTTGCCATCCGTGTTTGCTCAGGCAGTGTCAGTGTGGAGCACCGAATATGGTGTCAGGGCTATCATAGGCGAAGTAATACGGTCAGTTAACATTATTTATGTGCATTTTAAGTTTCCTATCAGCATTTCTCTTTGAAGTCTGTTTCCAGGGCCACAAATTAAGAAATTATTACATTTTGTTATTCTTGTCTCTTCAGGGAGATTGGTCAGAAGTCAAGTGAGGAGCTCGCTAGAGAGGGATCAGGGGTGAAAGCTTTTGCATCCTTCCTTTTGGAGCTCGGCACTCTGGTGCCTGAGCTAATGATGCCCAACATCAGTGTGCTCATCACACACCTGGAAGGAGAGGTACTGCACATTTTAACATCTTTCTGCTTACATTCAATCATTAATGTAAAGCTGCTGAAATAGAACGTGTAGGTACTTTAAATGGAAAATGTGCTGTGACATTGATATGGGATAAAGGTTGGTCAGTGTTTGTGAAGAAATAAATCACTTTGAGAGCGCACACGCCGTTTTCACGATTTGTGAGAATTCAGTTGCCCACAAATCCCCTCTCTTTTGTGTTACAGTTTAGATTTGCCAGTTTGGGGGGACTGGGCAGTCAAGTACAGCCATGTCATTTAGTGCTGTTTCAGCCCTGTTATCATCCTGTCTTGTTTAATGTCGAAGCGTATAAAGAGAATCAGAAAATAAGGGTTCCTGTATTTCTGTTGGTTTTAAATGGAAAGGGCATTAATGATTTCCGCTTCGGCAACAAACAACCAGCTGCAACATTTTCATCCACGGCTCTGACTTTACAGCAGAGAAAACATGTTAGAGCCCGTTTGCATTAACCATAAATTGAGCTCAAAGACACACATCAGTAATCAAAGTTTAGAATATGAAGACAAATGCTAATTAACGGATACAGAACAAAGATAAAACCACAAACCTGCTGATTCTTCAGAGAAACATCCCTTTCATACACACAGCTTGACTGCGTTCTTTCTTCTGAGTTCAGTCACAGTGTGCCCAGTGATGAGACCAAGGCGAATACGAGCTAACTGAATGAGAGTTGGGTTCTTCTTGCCTTGACTGGCAGGTAATCTTGGCAGTGCAGGGGAGTTTTCCTGCTCTGCTGTAAGGGCCTGCCTACAGTAATTTAGCCCAACCCTAATTCTTCCTCTGGAGTCGGAGTGAAGTGATGCTGGGATGAAGCTGACAGTGTGTTTGTTGTGTGTGTGTGTTTGTTGTGAGTGTAAGAGGCAAGAAGTACACCCAGCTCTCTTTTGCTTTCAGTAAGCGATGAGTTCCTTCTTTGGTAATCTGAGGGTGCTGTCAAAAAACTCATCTGAACTTCAATCAATGTGTTTACACTTAAAAAGGTTTCTTAAATATTGTCTCGTAGTTCTACTTCACACATTAATACTCAGTTAAGATGTTTTAAAGAGTTTGTTGTTGATAGATGAATTAATAATTTCCACCCCTTTTGTTTCCCCCTCAGAGCAATGCAATGCGTATCGCTGTGTGCGAGGTACTGGGAGAGATCCTTGTGCGGGTGCTGTATGGTGACGGGCTGGATGAATCTGGTAAAGCTGACCGTGACCGCTTCTTTGACATACTGCAGGAGCATCTGCATGACACTCACTCTCATGTCAGGGCACGTGTGTTACAGGTCTACACACGTATCGTCAACAGCAAAGTATGTAATCAATACGCTAAACCGTATCTATTGGCTAATATTTTAAATGTCTCTGTTTGTAATAAGACTTGCGATCTGTTTAGGCCCTGCCTCTTTGTAGATACAGTGAGGTGATGGAGCTCGCTGTGGGACGATTGATGGACAAATCTATAAATGGAGTCAAGAGCGCCATCCAACTGTTAGCAGCCTTCATCGCACACAACCCTTATAGCTGCAAGGTGACTTTCATGAACATGGTCACAGTTAAAAAGGACAAACGGGACTCATAATTGAACCAGAATATGTTTTTGTTCCTCTCAGTTGAGCAGCGCTGATTTGAAGAACCCACTGGAGAAAGAGACCGCTAAACTCAGAGATTTGAAGGAAAAACTGGAAGGGAAAGCACCAGGTGAAGATGAACCCCCTTATCTTCTGACTGAATAGACGCCCTAGTGTGTGTACGTTTGTGTTCAGTCACAGTGTGCCCAGTGATGAGACCAAGGCGAATACGAGCTAACTGAATGAGAGTTGGGTTCTTCTTGCCATGACTGGCAGGTAATCTTGGCAGTGCAGGGGAGTTTTCCTGCTCTGCTGTAAGGGCCTGCCTACAGTAACTTAGCCCAACCCTAATTCTTCCTCTGGAGTCAGAGTGAAGTGATGGTGGGATGAAGCTTGACAGTGTGTTTGTTGTGTGTGTGTGTGTGTGTGTTATAGACAAGGAGTTCACCCAGCTCTGTTTACTGTTCAGTAAGCGATGAGTTCCTTCTTTGGTAATCTGAGGGCAGAGTTTTTTATTTAATTTAAAATCACAGCGAAAGATGTCCGCCTAAAAGTTGTCTGACATTTCTTACATGAAGCCAAGGTTCGATTTATTTTATTTTATTTTTTATTCTAAACTGAGGATGCATCACAGTGCAAAAGTCTGAATTTATCACAATACATTTATATATATATATATATATATTTCAAGAAAAATGAATCTCACTCTGTATGTGCACCTTTTACCTGTTGCTGTTGATGGAGACCCAGGTGTAACGGCCATGCCTCAACAACATAGCTGTTAAAAAAGATTTGGATTTGGGAGAAACCATAAGTTTTGTGTAAAATGATGACCAGCTAATAGAAATAGTTTACTTACCACTACTAAATAAACAAAGTAATCACACGGTACACCTTTCTAATATTCTCTAATGATAGACAATTGACATTAACAGCACACATGTGATTTTGTCAGACCGTCCCATAGGCTTCACATTTATGTTTAAGATGACGCTAAAGTCAGGGACATATTACCTTACCTACTCTACCTAAACCTTGAATGTGATGACAATCGGGAGCAGACACTAAGTCTACCAAACAATCCAGATGTGAGGGGAGACACAAAGTGTCCTTAGTTGGCAGAGTCACAGCTAACCCTATCAGCTCTGACTGTCATCAGGGCCGAGGAATAAGCTGAATAATATTGTAGAGATACTGAAATTCCATCACAATGCAAAGCTAATAGGTACATAAAAAGCTGACTGGATTTACATGGTTAGATTTTTCTATTTTTGTTATGGCAGCATTTATCACAGATGTAAAAGATTTAGCTATTTCTCTCCCCAAATATCACCCGGCACTAGTCAGAAGTCTGAATAATAAGGTGCAATTGTACTGTTTGACAAAAGACATCTGCACAGAGCGCTCTCAATCTTACTCGGAGAGAAAGCATCAGTCAGTAGAAAATAGAAATCGGTATTATGTCAGTTGTTTAAATCACTTAAATGAAGCAAAATTTATTTAAGCATTGAACCAATAAAGTAGTAGTTATACGTCTGCACAGCTTGACAGAACCCCACGTTATCTTTGTAAAATACACTCGTTTTAGGAGGATTCATAAAAAATTTTACCACTGCCAGTACCCAATGCAGTTCTGTCACTAGCTTTTTCTTGAGCGTAGTCTGCAGTTTCTCGTAGAGAAACAGAGCTGGAGTACAAAGACAACAAAATATGACCAAATGTAACGCCACATTATAATCTAGATTTATAACCATATGTGTATTTCTGTTACAACTCTGTCAATCTCCTAAATTATTCCTTTGGTAATCTCTTCTGTCAATTATTTTTAATTTTCTTCCTGGCTGACTTTTTACTTAACATAATGTTTTGATTTATGCAGTGGCGGTCATTAAAGCATCTGAGCTGTGGGCCGCCATGGAGCCTGAGTTGCTTGTCACTGTCAGGACAGAGCTAGAGCCCACAACTGAAGATGAGAAGGAAGAGGAAGAGGAGGAGGACAACAGGGAGGAAGAGGATGAAAGAGCAACTGCAGTGCAGATAGCTCAGTACCTCCGCATCAACAAGTACAGGTGATGGTAAAAAAACAGCGTTGGTCTGGACACAAGCTGACTCGAGTGTCACTCACCTTGAGGGGTTTTACTCACCTGCACTGTCAATTAGCCAACAAGATGATATTCATGATTTGATTTCCTCCCCCTTCTACAGGAATGCGGTGCGTCTTTGTGTAAGAGCCCATAGCTGCTTCCCCGAGTCTGAGATGTTCGCTTCTCTGTCTACTCTCAACGCTGAGACTCTGATGCACACGCTGGCTCTGATTTTTAAAGGTAAAGCCCGCGATCACTTCCCCCAATGCACTTGCATCCAGACGTACTCACCAGAAGTGCTTGGATGTAAGTCTTAATGAAAGTGAAATTGGACACACTTAAGAGTCAGTTTTTAATATTTCCACTTGATTGGACTGTATGCATTTCATATTATCTTTCTCTCTCAATTCATTAAAACGGACTTGTCTCTAATAGTTGCCTTTACAAGAGTGTGAGAAGAGGTTATATTGAGCATGAAACACTCAAACATATTTCATAACAATGGAGTGTGACACATCTCCGCCAACACTGTGCTGCAGCTTCAAAATGATTGCAGATACACATGTTGAAATGCTACAAACGTTTTATATCATTACATAAAATAAAACATGAACTTGTTTCATATCACTGGTTGACATAAAATTGGACTCATGGCATCCCCTCTTAAAATATGAACAATTTATTTCAAGCAGTTTAGGTAGAGATCGTGTTAAAAGTCTGTTGCTATGCTGATTGTGTTCATCATAAATAAATAGCTTTCATATTCTTTTGATAATGAAATTATAATCTGTAACTAAATTGTTCTGTGTTAATTGTTTAGCACCAATACACCAAGTCAAATTCCTTGTAAGTGTAAATGTATTTGGCAATAAAACCCGATTCTGAAAAAGTAAATGCAAAAAAATAAAGTGGGATGGGGGATAACCTTCTTTAATTCTGCACTTTGAATAATACAGAAAGCAAGTGCCATATAACATGAATGGAACAAGATCAGCAATAGCAGCATCACAGTCAACAACTTAAAAATAATAAGAATGTATAAACTTCTATTGAAGGCCCAGATTGGTGGTTATTGTTTAATTTAGAAGTTTGTCTGCCGTGAATGTCGTGACGCGTTTCCTGTCATAGTCCAAATGTGGTTAAAAAAACAAAAACTAAATTGCATCACACGGACAAAGCACTGCAGAAGAACAAATGCATGAGTATTGTTTTGCATATATTGAAGATTCACTTGGCCCTGGCCTGCAATACTGGCAGAAATGGGGAAACAAGTGTGCAAAGGCATTTCCTTAGTATGCTGTTAATGTGACACTTCTCTGGCCTCCTCACATGCACGTCAAGCAGAAGGATTAGATTGAACTTAACTACTGTACAGGAAGTGTTGAGTAATTGACCAGCAATGGAAATTTTCTCCTTAATTATTCTCTTGTATAGCTTTGTAATCCTAATTTATTTTCTATCATACGAACCTTGGTTTTTTTTTTTCCCCCCTCAGGCACCGACGATGACGCCTCTGAGCTCAGCCAGAACCTGCCGCCAACCCCTCAGAAAGAGGGGGAGGGGGAGGGGGAGAAGGAAGGGGAGGATGGGGAGTTGAAGAAGCAGGAGATGTTGGTTCAGTATTTAAGGGACACAGAAACCTTCGCCTTACAAGTGGAGAGAGCAATCTCTGTCATCAACTCCATGCTCTACTGGAAAACCACTACAGGTAGAGGGCTATACACAGATATGTTCAATATGAGTAAAACAATGTCAACATGTAATCAGTGAAGGATATACAATTATTTTCATATGACAATTGACTTCTCTTGTCTTAGTGGTCCAGGAGGCTGTGCAGTTTTGTGTCACAGTATGTGAGTTCAGCGTTGCCAACTCAGTCAGTGGGGTGAGGAAAATGTTACCTCTGGTCTGGTCAACTGATGCTGCAATTAAAGACGCTGTGGTTAATGCCTACAAGAGGCTGTATCTGAACCCTCATGGAGACACCATCAGGTTTGTGAAAGTGACACACACGCACAACTGATGTGTGCATGACCTACTAAAAAAATTGATTTATATATTGAGATTTTAATGTATGTTTTATGTACTAATACATTTATTCTGATGTGATATTTAACTTTTTTTTTATTTGATTGTGAGTTCAGTTTAAGATCACAGTAATGTTAGGCTCGTGTTGTCATCTTAAAAGTATCTGTCACGTTTCTTTAATTAGGATGAAAGCCCAGACTCTTGTGGACAGCCTGTCTGAACTGATGATGGATGCATCTCTGGGTACGGTCCAGTGTCTTGAGGAAATAGTGAGTAAACTGTCAAATTTGGATCATGCCTGTATATGATGATCAGTAGTAGGAAAAAAAACAACTATGCAGAATGTAAAGGACACATTCGTACCAGACTTAAATGTATCATGAACTTTCTTTTCCTGCTTGTCGACTGTATTTTTTGAATGAGTAACTTTGTAATACAACTTGTGGGAACTCTTCATCAAACATGTTTCTTGTGGTTTCCTCAGGTTCAGGAGTTCTTTGGCAGTACAAGCAATCTCCAGTCCACTGTGGTGCAGGTCTTGTGGGAGAGGTTTACAGGCAAACGAGACACTGATAACCTTCACAGGCGAGCTGCAGTGTTGCTGCTCGGCATGGCCACACGGTAAGAAAGAACTTTGGATATGCTCATGAGAAATAAACTGCTTATACCTTGATGAGGAAAGAGGATTAAAAGATGAGAGCTTCTTTCTCTCCTTGCCTTTGACATGCTGGTAATTTTGGGCCAGTGACTCAACTCCACCTACTCTGACCATGCAGAGTAACATAAAGAGAGGTCTGATAAGTGATCACGATGTGTTCCTGTTTGTTCAGTTGGTTGTAGTGTACACATAATGTTCACAGGGACATAAATGTACCTCATGTTTCTTATCCTTCTTAAATAGAGTTGGTATAAATCATTATAACATAATTTGAGGTGCAATGCTGATTGTCAGTGGCATAAGAACTTTCATACTTAATGTCATAATATTTGGATCACAAGTTCACCTTCTTTTTCTCTATCTTGAGCTTCACAGATCTGAGAGGAACTACTTTGCAAACTGGATTTAAAGAGTTTACTCCATCTCCCGTTTAACTCTAATGGGCAGGATTCTGGTCAATTAAACGTTTCATAATATACCCATAAAGTTGTCTGACAGCCAGCAAGAACTCTTTCAAAAAAACATTATGTAAAATCTGCTCTATTCCTCACAGCATGAAGGCACTTCCTCTTGCGTGTTGGTTCTGCCTCAGCTACTTGATATTCAGCGAATCCTCTCATTAGTCAGAAAACAAGCTCGTCCTCGGCTCCTCTTCATTGTAATCTAAGTCACGACCGTAAAACTAGGCTCCTTGCCAGGGCCTTTCACTGTATACATGTATATATTTTTTTAACCCTCAATCTACCTCAAAGACTGCTGCTGCTGTGGGGAAGAGCGAGCGCAGGGGAGAGAGAGTGAAGAGAGACTATCTGCAGTCCACCCACACCGCAGCCTCCATCCAGTCAGCAGCATTCATAACCTATTAATTCTAATGTGCTTCTACTAACCCATCCTCCTACATGCATTATCTGGGCAGCAGCCTAGCAATGGCAAGGCCAGCTCACAGAAATGCTAATACTTCACTTAACATTCTCATGATCATAATCACATGAACATTTAGGAATATAAAATCTTGACATACAACTCTTGTTTTTGTGTATCTTTACAGGGCAGAGAGGGAGGTGGTCCTCAGTAATCTGGACACCCTCTGCTCAGTGGCTCTGGGTGAAAAAGTGACTGAAGACTTTCTTCTGGCCAGAGACACAGTCATCACCATCTGCAGCATCACCGACCATGTCAGGGTAAGAAGGGCTTGTTTGCGTTTGCTTTCTAAACCTTTATTTGTTACTCGAGGGATAAATTGACTTCAATCTGTTGAATGCTTCTAACGGACATCTGATGTTCATTTTGAACCACATCCAGTGCTCACACATCCAGTATTAACTACTGGTAATATCCACCTTTTTATAAGACAGGTGTCACAAGTTCATGATGGGTTTGCATTTTCCTGCTGTGTGAAGCATTTCTTTACTTCACATTTTGAGTTTAAATTCAAAGCTACAATGTAGGCTACATATCTACAATCTGCTGCTGATTAATCCTAAAAGGATGAATATAAAGTCAAACAGGCATAGGGCTTTAACACAAAGTTAACCACATGCACTTTGTGTCAATCAGCAATCAAAAGGTGCTCCCTTCAGACTACCACAGGACCATCAGCTCTTCACTTGCCTCACACAGGCCCTCGCTGAAGGTAAGTCTAGACTAGATTCTGCTTTGTTTCTTTGTCTTTACCTTCACCATGCTTGGTCATTTTCTCAGACTGAGTCTATTGGTGGCTATTTCAGGTGTGGTGATGGAAGACCCTTACTGGCAGAGCTTCATGGAACAGGCTGTCCGTCTCATCTACTTCCTGGCTGAATCACCTGACCAGCTATGCTCCCGGCTGATCCAGCGCAGTGCTCGCCTCTTAATAGATCAGGTTGCAGAAGGTGGAGAAGTCAACAAGGATGCTAGCCAAATGCAAGATGTATCTCAAGATTCCACCGAGCAAGGTGAACAAGGTGAGTCCCTGTCTACATCTGTCTACATTCATACAGTGCAACCCGTCTACTGCTCAGTGCTTTATAACAGTACTCTGTTGTGTGTTACTCTCCTGCAGTGAACTGTGTGTGCCTTGCCCAGCTGTTGGCTCTGTGTGGCTGCGTGGCTTTCTGGCAGGTGTCGCACCTTGAGCGCAGTGTGAGCGCAGAGTTGCGGAGGAGGAGAGGAGAGAGGGAGGAGAGGGAGGAGAAGGAAAAAGGCCCGTCCAGCAAAGCAAAGGTAATGTACATGACACACAGGTGAATTTTATGGGTCGAATCGTTGAACATTTCGTTATCAATTGAAAACACTTATAAAGAAGAGCCAAGGTCCCACATGCTCAAATTTCAGGATTTAATAATCAAAATAAAGTCATGCTTAATTGTTGTAGTACTATTTAAGCTCATACTGCACACACTGAAACTGTCCTGTAAGCCCTTATTTTGAGTTGTCTGTATTCAAACACTAACACTTTTTAAAATCAGTGCACTAGCATGATCGGCGATGCGTCAGTACCTACGGCTGACACCTCTGATGATCAACATGCAGTGCTACAGTAGCTTGTTCAAAAATCAGGTTTTAACAAAAATAATAAATTAAATCATTGTGTTTAATCATCAAGTGTTTTTTTTTCTGCTGAATTTCTAGTTTAACAATGAAAAATAAACTCAAAACAACAGCCCCCTGTGGGGTTAAATCCCAACAGGAGGGCTTGATGAGTTTCATATCAGTGACACAGTCAGATGAGTGATAGCTCAAATTTGTTCAGCCCATCAGGGAACTGGAAGATAATCATCTCTTCAATTAGCACAAGACATGTTTCATTTTTTGTTTTTCATTTACTTTTTCACTGACACCTAATAGAGAGTGGAATTAACAACTTCTTCACGTCAGCCTTAAATATGAAATGTCACCTGGTAGAAAGAACCCAGACAAGACTATTTTGGTATTAACCATAAAAAAAATGCAACATTCGTGATGTGAAAAGACAGACCATCCATTAACATGTCACTATTGTGGCATTTTCAGGTATATTGGCAGTACCTCATATTAAAAAAGCTCTAATGGAAGTATAATTTAATATCCCTTTGAGACTAAGAGTAAATTTGACCCTGCTTGAAATAGATTTGGTATGGTGTTGTTAAAAGCAGGACACTATATTGTCTTAGTTATGGGTGTAAACAAACATGGACAGCAGGCGTAATAAAGGCAAACAAAAACAAACCTTTTATTGTCACCATCCATTGACTTAACCTCGACCAAATTCTATGCTGCTTGTACCAGTTCTTCTCAGGACTACAAGACAAGAAGTCCAAAAATATTACTTCCATAATGAGAGATAAACCTGATGGTTGGTGTCTGACAAAGCGGTTAGATTGTGTGCACTGTGTACAGATGCTGTTGTCCTTGAAGCGGGCAGCTGGGGTTTGATATACATACCGGTATGTGTGTTTTCCTCGCAGCAAACAGCCAATGAGAGTACTATGGAGGAGGAGCTAGGGTTGATTGGTGCCTCTGCTGAAGACACAGAGGCTGAACTCATCAGGAAGATCTGTGAGACTGAATTACTAGCTGGTAAGAATATCTTGTTTTCTAGTCTAACAATATGCTGCCTTAAAACTCACATTCAAGATGTTTTCACATTTGACACCCTCTCCCCTCCCACTTGTCTATTGCCTCTGTCTGTTTAGAGGAGAACCAGCTGAGTGCATTCCTTCCCCTGCTGGTGAGAGTCTGCAGCTCCCCAGGTCGCTATTCCCACCCACAGCTCACCACAGCTGCCTGTCTGGCTCTCTCTCAGTTCATGATGATAAGGTAGACACATGTCTTATCTCATAGTCCCCTGTTTCATAGGGAAAGCTAGTTAAAACACAAAGGTTGAAGTATTTTAATTGGATCTGCAGTTGCTTCAATCCATATCATTCATGTGAATTAGTGGAGGTAAAATAACAAAGTCTCTCTGCACACACTTTCAATTAAAATTGTGTACATTAAAAAACACATTGTGGTAAATCAGTATTTCTGTAAGTGATGATGTACAGTTCGGGGGTTAGAACCTGTGCAGGGTGAACAGGATCCCAATGCAGTCTTGTCTCAACCTGAAGGGATTCCTCCTACAAACCAATATGCCATATAAGGAATATATGTCTCAAATATGCAGATTTTTAATTAATTTCTCAGTAGTTTTTCTCCCTTCTCGGACTGATCTGAGTTATTGTTTGATTTGTTTTCACAGCCCATCAGCCTGTGAAGAAAACATCCGTCTAATGTTCACCGTGCTCGAGCGTTCTGCTCTTCCTGTGGTCAGGGCAAATGCCATAATAGCCCTGGGAGACCTCACCGTCCGTTTTCCAAACATTTTGGAACCTTGGACTCAGAATCTTTATGCCAGGTAATGTAATGAATGATTAATTAGCAGGACTATATAAAACATTTTATTCATCCCAGCAGCGGATCCTCATCCCCTTATTGTCATGCTTATTAGTCTGGCATAGCCACACTTGTGTCTACAGTTTGTTTTACATGTAGCCCTGTACACACACTGGAGAAATGTCTGGTATGATTTTGCATAAAGGGGGAACACACTCTGGGTTGTATCTCTCCTTTTTTAGGCACAATTATCTTAGGTGGTGCTAAGCTCATGATGCAGCAACTGTGTCCGTATCTGTTTTGTAGGAGGGGAGATTTTTTTGTGTTAAAACATTTGTAAGTGGTGGTGTGATCTGTGGCTAAAATGGTAAAATAAAAGTAAACAAAGGACAGCACTCCAATTGGTCTTTTATTGCCACAAGGACATTTTGAACAGACCCCCTTCTTCAGTGTGTATCCTACAATCACATTGCCCAATTGATACGTCCGTTGGCGTGCTGTCCCTATCGTATTCTTATCTGACATTGATTCAGGATTCAGCACCAAGTTATGTGCTGTTAGTGAGTTATTGGTAACAATTTTATAAAAAGGCAAAATCGTTGAAACTGCATTGACCTAGCCAGCCTTATCTGACCTTCTCCTACGACCCGAACCCTCACACGGCACACAAGCTGCTTGCTTTAGGTTGCTGGACTCTTTGTCATTTCACATAGCAGTGAGTGTTTGAAAAACATAGCATGCAGATAAAATTAGGGGAGGAGAATTAAGTCCAAAATAAGGCAGCCCGTGGCAGGCTTATACACAGTCTCCACATCCTATGAGTCAGACTTCACGCTCATTAACTCTTTTTCCCATTAGATACGCATTATCATCATGTACGTCAATTTGTTTTGTTATTTCAACCAATATTATAAAGCACGGCCTACGCCTGATGGCTTAGCCAAGTGGGTGTAATGTGAATGACATTTTATCACGGGCAACATCTCTCCCCTTTGCTGGTTTCCAGCTGAATCCCACCAGCAGCAGCATGTCTCAGTGTGTTACTGCTGTCATTGAGGTGAAACGGCTGTCACTTTGCTCCACTGAGCCACAAGATGGGAAAAGTTAACTCTCTCCATCATGACTTGATAGGTTGACAAACTTTGAGATTAGCTGTGCGGGCAAATTCTGATATCTGACTTCTGCGTTTGCCATAGAAACCAGCAAGTGCTTTATGGCTGTACAGGAAACCCACCCCCAACTCCCGAACTGGGGCGGTGACTTGAACTGGCTTAGACAAGAGAGCTGTTAGACAACGAACAACTTAATTATTAGTGTGTTACAGATTGTGACTAGAACCAATGACTCTTGTGCTGTAATTACACAGGACGGGTGAATGAGCAGAAGGGGATTATTATCAAGTGAAATCAATGGTCAAAGGGCTCATGCTTCTATGTACATTTTCATTCAAAACACTTTATGGTTTGTCTGTTTCTCGTGCACTTAGTTGCACTGCTCCCCAGCAGCCAACTTAGAGGCAGAAGCTGCTCTTTTTGATGAAGTGTGGTTTTAATTATAAGGGCTGATAAAGTGCACAATGAGGTGTTTCTGACGTGTAAAACATTCTGTTCTTTTTTTCAATGCAGCATTTCTCTTCTACTGTTTTCTACCTGATAAGCCTTTCATAGTGTTCCCTAATTGTCTCCCACACACCAACACCTCCACTCTTCTTAAGGCTGCTGCCCTGAAGCCTCCTGATAAGCGTGCTAAGAATTAATTACCCTGTTCGTTGCTGTTGTAAGCCCCTGCATTGGCATGTGGAAGTCCCATGTATAAATGTCTGATCCTTTGCCAAAGAGGCTTGCTCTCTGGCAAAAATGAGAAATGGTTAATGAGTTTCTTTTGTTCTGGGGTTTTGGGAGTGGGTAAGACTAAATTGGTCTTCTTATGCTATCAGATTGCCCTGCCACAGCCTGTCCAATGCCATTGTGTTAAACCCAGGCTGTGACCGTTGTTTTGGTTACTAATCCCATCTAGGTGGAACCAGTCTTTACACAAAGCTTAACTGACTAGGACTGGGAAATTATGAATGTGGAGGTGGCAAGAATGTTTTTCCTACTCATTTTATGTATTTATTTGGCTGTGGGGATTCAGGACTGGAAATGTCCATCTGCACAACAGTTGAGCGGATTGCTGTTGTATATAAACGTTCATCGTGACCAAAATACTGAAATGTTCAGACTTTGGTTATCATCTTTTCCTCTATTGTCACAAACGGGTATTCATATTTAGGCTTTATTGGATTGGTAGGCATGATAATTTGTATAGATATACATTTTACCCTAAGAATGAAAAAGTCATATCTAGGGCTGCACATTTCATCAAAGTATTTTCAAACTGCAACATGGCCTAGTGCAATACCCAAATCACCAAATCTTCAGTTGGAGACAGGTCCTAAAAATCTTGTTTTCCAATTTTTTATTTTTTATTTTTTTTAATAGTAGTGACTCAACAAATGCCCCTTCCTTCATTTTTTTTATATAAACATTCCTACTTATTGCCATCCTATTGCCAATATACCTGTCACAATATCCACATGTTGCTGCCCTTGTTTTGACTTTTACTGCACTGTCCATTCATCTAACCATAAAGACTTAGACATTTGTTTGTGTGACAACAGCTATTTTAACATTGTTGCTATGAAATGCGGCATTAATAATTATTTTGCTGAATGAATGAAAAACACTTTTGAAAGTTGCAAAAATACCTACAGTGATGTCTTTGGAGTCTGTTTCTACTGAAACCTCAAGGAGTAATGAAGAGCCACTATCTCTGTAGATATGAAGTTGCAGGTATCAATGCTCATATATTCAGATCATCTATTATTTCTGACTGAAAACCAACCCATTTCATTGATCAGGGCTGTGTGGGTGTGATTTAATGACATTTGATTGACTGTACGGCAACATAAGCAAAAGCTCCACACGAGTCTTTACAATTTGAACCGTTAACTGTTGATAAATTAAATGCAACCAAACAGACAAACCACTGAAGAATATTATATTTATGTACGACCACATAACTCATTTAAATCCAGTTCAGAAAATCATCTATTTATCCAGAGCAAGCACCAGACTCAAGTGAATAACATTTCCAACAGCCTCAGCTATACTTAATATTTATTGCTAATGAGTCCAAAGTGCAGCCGCACAGAAGGTAGAAAATGAATTCTCCAGACATTTCACCCTCTGTTCTCGTCCAGGCTCAGTGACGAGGTGCCTTCAGTACGACAGACAGCTGTGACGGTTCTAACTCAGCTGGTGCTTAAAGATGTCCTCAAGGTCAAAGGACAAGTCAGCGAGGTGGCCGTGCTGCTAATTGACCCTGAGCCTCACATTACCAGCCTGGCACTGAACTTCTTCAATGAGCTGGCCTCCAAGGTACACACACACACTTCCAGCACTCTTAAAGAAGACTGAATAATTAGAACGGTTTTCACTCTTTCTTCGGTGGTTTCCATCAGGACAATGCAATCTACAACCTGCTCCCTGACATCATCAGTCGCCTGTCAGACCCAGAGAGAGGCATGACCTCGGAGGACTTCAACACCATAATGAAGTGAGTTTCATTGCTTTTCATCATGTGTCTGGTTTCATCTGTCCGCAGAGGACATTTCCATACTGAGCACGACTCTGCAGGTTCATATCGTGACTTGTTCAGGAAGCTTTCCCAAGAAACTTGGGAGCTTTTCTATTTTGGGAGCTTTGTTTAGAGGCTGTGTTTTTTTTTTTTGTGTCCTCAGACAACTCTTCTCCTACATCACTAAGGAGAGGCAGACCGAGTCTCTGGTGGAGAAACTCTGTCAGCGCTTCAGGACTGCCAAGTGAGTAAACTTCCACCACTTTTTTTTTTTTTTTTCACATCTCTGACCCGCTACTTTTCTTTCCCTTTATTATTCTTTGTTTTCCTGCTCGTTTCTGAGCAGCAGTATTCAATTTGTGAGATGAAGGGGCGGGTGCATGGGTAATTAGTGGGTGTGAAGAGAGAAAAAAGACAATCAAAGAGTTCACAGTTCATTTCACCCATCACATCTTATTCACTCATTTGATAATGGAAACACTCTTCCCATGAAGTTGGGGAATGTAGTCCGAACAAGCAGCCTAGCCAGACTTCCTCTGACTCATACTTAATCTATACTCCAAGGAAGGACATTTTATATTACACAACGCTAAAGTGAATTTAGGTATCTGGGCTTCAGGAAAATGAGATTTTGTCCAAATGCCAGGGCAAAGCTTTATACATGAGTAATGAGGTCTTTTGTTGAGCATCAGAATCCAGTATACGGGGGGAAAAGCTGCCTGACGGGAGATTTTACAAACAATCTCCTCCACTGAGAGAAATGTTGTCTATAACAGTGGCACATTTTAATGACACTATACCATCATAAACACTCATCTAAAATGTAGCTAACATACATTCTTCACAAAATCTTACTGCAGGATGTCCCATTGTGTAATGTTTTATTTTTAAAACATGATTTGGAGCAACACATGTTTACATAATTGGTCTGTGACGAAATATACAAAAGCATTCTTAAGCACTAGGAATACGTTGTGAGGCTGACGCATAGCCTACATATTTTCTCTTATGACGTAAACCTTTGAGAGCCTGGGACACACATCGTACCTCGACCTGTGTGTTACAGCTACCTGTGTGAACTGCTGTGGGTTGCATGTGTTTGGCATTGTGTGTGAAAACCTGCCAATCAAAATCTATTTTACAAAAACAAAGGTTTCCAGATGGACCTTAATAAATAGTGGGCTAGCAACTGATGCTCATAGAAAGACTGGACTCGTTGCATTTTGTAGTTCTAAATCAGGTTTCTGTGAATCTTATTGTACCTCTCTCTCCTCAGGACGGAGCGTCAGTGGTGTGACTTGGCCACGTCTCTGTCTCTTCTGTCCATGTGTGAGCGTGGTTTCAAGAGACTGCAGGAGTGCTGGGAGTGTTACAGTGACAAGTTAACTGAGCCTGGAGTCTACCAACCCCTCCTCTCCATCACCGCCAAGCTCCGCCGCGGGGCCAAACCCCAGTTTAAGGTGAAAAATACATCCTCAGTTTAAAGTAATGTATAATTTATTTGGATGCAGTCTTTGTTAACTGATGGAATCCTTGTCCCCACAGGCCCAGGTAGACGAGTTTGAAAAGCGTCTGACTGCTGTTCACACACGTGGCCTGGAGAATGTTGAGAGTCCAGAGATGGATGCGGAGAACCCACAAGAAGGCGGGTCCGCTGAGAAGACCATCATGCGTACACCGCAGCCAGCCAGAGGACGGTCAAAGAGAGGTCAGCACTCAGGATTTCACTAAAACAATGTCCAAACGCAAAAAAAAGTTTTTGATTTGATAACAATTGAACCAATAAAAACAAACAATTTATTTTGTTTTAAATATAAAAAATGTTTCTGTTTCAGGTCAAGCAAAGCCTTCAGTTTCTAGTCGAGGAGATGGCAGTTTCGTGACACCTCAGAGGTCTCGCAAGTCCAAGAAGCCTGTGATCACCTTCAGCAGTGATGAAGAGGAGGATGAAGAGGGTGAGTGCTTAATTCAAGGATTCTTCTACCTTTTTTGAAGAACTTCCTTTAGACCTAAATAGATCTCCTTAATCCTTATTTAAGGAACACATTTAAACTTTGTTTATTCATGGCTACAACAAATTATTATTTTACAATTCTACAATAAATTTAGCAGAAGAACATCAGAGTATTTTAATGAACAGCTTTACCTGACTCCATTATTCATTTTGCCAATGACGTCTCAAAACTTTGGGGAAAAAATGTGACTTAAGATATTCAGTAACAACAAGAGACACAGCATCAAAAAGTCACATTTTTGATAGCTGGAAATGGGGAATGTTTGGCATTTTGTTTTTGCAAAAATTTAAAAAAAAGATTCAAAATTCTTGCCTAACATTTTCCAGATTTCTGTTCTTGACCAATGAAATTTGTTTCTGCTCTAGGTATTAATTGATTATTTTATCACGAGTCAGTTCTACTCTTTGGATCAATACAACAAAGTTCTGGGTGTTTGTAGCTCTGGGCTGAAGAAGATTTAGGACCGATGTGCCCCAGTGGCTCTTAATTACAGTGAACTGTGTGCTGCTGTGTCACTAATCCACAATCTGGGGATCAATTTGAGAACAATTTTCAGGGGAAAAAAATCTACCGTTTATGAACAACTGTAGATAATTTATACAAAGATTTTATTGAGACTGTGCCTTTTTGTGAATTGTTTTTACCGGCAAAGTCTTCTTCAAATTTGATTTCATTTTGATAATTATCATTCCTTCAGCCAGAGAATATAGCCGTAAAAATCGTCATCTTTTTTACTTGAAGGGATACTTCACCCATTTGCATTTAGCTTTGTATCATTAGAAACCTGGCAGTATTTTTGAATGGTCGTGCATCCCGCCCTCGTTTTCCCCTGAGATGGGAAATCTTTGTATTTCTAAGTCTGAAGAGGAGCTTCCAGTGACGCAAAATGACGATTTTTGCATCACTGGAAGCTGTTGCGTTTAGTTGGGTGAAACTACAACGCTAGTTCCTCATATTTTTGACCACTGACGCTACAGACCAATCACAGATCAGTGGGTGGGAACTCACTCCCAGAATCGAAACTTAACATCCGCCATATTGCTTGGAAGCTATGCTAACAGGCTCTATGGAGAAAGCTGATAATGGCGAAAAAATATAAATATAACGGCACTGGTCGCTAGCCACCGGGGCCACCACGACACCAGACTGGCCTGTTGGCAGCAACCGTCTCGCGACTATATTGCTAGCCACTGCCGACTGATCAGCTGAGACATAAGGCCTGCCTGTCAGCGGCGGTGAGGACGAGGAGCCCGGGCCGGCTCGAGCTGGGGCGGACTGGTAGTGTCGGTGCTCTCACTGTTTGCCTGTGGACACAGACATAGAGTCTGTTTTCTGCCAGGAATTTCCAAGATCAATTCTGGAAGAAATCTCAGAATCAGTTGAGGAAATGGCCTCATGTGTTGAAGTAAATATGTCTGTAAATGTTTTTATTACTATATTTCTACTGCTATATTGTATATTTTGGAGAAACTGTAACGATTGAATTTCCCTCTGGGATTAATAAAATATTTCTGATTCTGAAATAGAGGACCTTAGTGGGAGTGGCCTGCGGTGCTGTGCATTCTGGGATTTGGTGTCTTTCATTCACAAAAATAAACTTTCTGCCTTTTCTCAGCCAAGAAAGCACCGACTTCAAAATGTATTTCACATTATATGACCCAATGTCAATACAGATTCATGTTTCAACGGGTGAAGTATTCCTTTAATAGTTTTTTTTAACTTTGAACTTAAAAAAAAAAGTCAGACAGCTGTCCCATCCTGCAGACTCCCTCACTTACAGACTTCAGCATGGCTCCAATAGTGACTGTGCCCCTTGTACGGACCTCTTCATAAAGCATGATAAAGGAGCAACTTGAACAGGCTGTGCAACATAAATAAACTCTTTAAAAAGGTTTAGACTGGAAACTTTTTGTTGTTGTTGTAGCTCTATTGCCTTCTTTAACAAGTCTCAGATCATGTGGCCTTTGTTCCTTTATTAACGTCTAATCTTCTTTTTCTTCCCCTCAGATGCCGTCATGGAGGAAAACGAGACCCCGAAAGTTACCACACCCATCGCCCGCACGTCCAGACGAGCTCGCCTCAGAAACTGATCTGTCTTCTGATTTTCTTTCTTTGTTGTTTCCTTTTATCTGAAACTTGTATTTTAACCTATTTTAACTTTTTAATTTCTGTATATTTTTAAAGATATTGGTAACATTAGTCTGATGACGTTTAATGACAGAATCGAGGTGATTTTAATAAACATGCTCGTTGTTTTGATAAAAACTCTACAGCTGTCTGTCTCTGTTTGAGCTGAGTCACTCACCGTCTCTGCGCGCTGAATGCTGACATGCACAAATGTGTGAAGGGCTGGGTATCTTCTGGGTTATGTCAAGTGAATTTATACCGTCATTACAAGCAGCTTTGAATGTCTGCTTGTCCGTTGTGTTTGGACAGCGATGTTTAATGGATCGCCACAGCTTGCTGGGACAGTATTACTACCCTCCGTGCTTCTCCACTACATTTTCCTCCACTTGTTAAAACACTTCTATACAATCAGTTTTCTGTCTTTATCACATGAGAAACTTTGATTTCAAAATGAGTATTTCTGCTTCTTGTTTATTTACTTTTTTTTTTTCTTCTGTCTGACACATTTGCTGTTGCCTAGTTGGCCGCCTCTCTTCTGTAATCAATCTCTTTTGTAGGGCTCTCTCAGCTCTCTCCCTCCCATCCTCCTCCTCCTACTCACCGTCGCTTACTTTCCCTCTTACAGCCCTCCTCTCCTGCACGCTAGTTTAACCCCCCCTCCCCTCCCATATCGCTAATCTCTCTTTTTTTCGCCTACTCCCTCTCCCACACGCTGTCCTCTCCGAAAAAGATGAGAGGGGTACATTTCTGTATCTGTGATTGATGTGTTATGTAAAGACACTTGCCAACAACTGGCGAACAGTGTGATTGCAGCAGCACTTAGGTTTTTATGAGGATGAATTGGAGTTAAATGTTTTCCGTGGGTGTCCGGTACGCAAATACGAGTAAATTTCCCCAGTTTATATCTATTTAGAGTTGGTGAAGAAGAATTCTACTTGCCCATCCTCTCGATATTCAAGAGAAAATATTCTCTCACTTCCTGTGTATCCGACATCTATCGCTAATTGCTGTGGTTTATTTACTTGAAATAATCAGTGGCTGCTGAACTTTGAGGTGGCTGTGTTGGATCATGCAGCTCCTGCTAGTGTTGTAATTTGGCGGCGGGGGGGAAAGGGAGCAGATGGCACTGACAGACTGTAACTTATCCAACCGAGAGGGGAGGTCAGGGCATGCTGGGAAAGACCACAGAGACAATGAGGAGAGAGAGAGGCTAATAATCATGAGGGGCATTGTTAAGTATTGAGGAAATGTATAATTCTGATTAAGGTTTGACACAAAACGTGTGAATCTCTCCAGCCTGTCGCTGGTCTCATCGATGTGCTGACCACTGCCCTGTGACCTTGCCTTGTTGCATCTTTATGGAGCACAGAGTGCAAAGCGCACACAGTCACCTTGGCAATGACAATCATTCTTCTCAAAGCTATGACATCACTCCAAAGAAAAAGGAGATGAGGAGGAGGAGGAAGATGTAAGAAAGGGAGGGGGGGGGGCATCTCTGGCTCTACAAAACCTCTGCAGCATCCCAGCTGATGCCCCAACATTCAGCTTCTGCCAACAGGAGAGACGCAAGAGGAAGAAAATCATCCTTTCAGTTCCATCACACAGTGAGGAAGAGGAGGAGCCAGCCGAGTGAGATAGTGATGCTCCCCCCAGCAGGTGCCAACAAGTGAGAGGTAGCCGAGAGAGTGAGGAGGACGCAGGACATGGAGAAGAGTCAGTGAGAGAAGACACCCAGAGCTCTGAGAGGTAACCAACAGGTGAGAGGCATAACTTTTCTTCTAGATGAATTATGTTGAATCTTTCAATCCAAGCTTTCGTCTATCCATTCTTATAACTTTTTCTTAAAGGATCAAGTTAAAAATCCTGTTATTTCAATGCTTATTTCTACATCAACATTTGGGGAAAATGTATCAATTTTAAATCTAAATTGATAAAATCACTTTTTTTTTATATAAATTGATTTATAACAGCAACTTTTTAAAGATCTTTTTGACTTCAAAGTTATAAAATGCCCTAAACTCAACAAGGGTAATGCCTCTTTTTAAAAAAAAATAGATTAATAGTTATACTTGCATATTAACATTTAGTATATTTTATTTTAAAATCTGTCCTGGTTTTAATTTAAGTGATTTGTTTATCAGTTTTAATTTACATTCTTAAATCCTGAACTGAAATTAAGATGTTCAGATCTTAGAACACACTCGACAAAGGTTCAGAGGGACTGAAATGTTGTGATTTATTCTAATAAATTGGAGATGCTTAGCAAGAGTAGTGTACAAGATTTTTTCTTAGTGAAATCCTAAGCAGGAGAAGTGGCGGCAAGTAAGCTGACCTCTAATTCTTTGTACATGAAAAGATAAACATTCTCACACCCAAATCACAAAGAAGTAAAAACAATTCTTCAGTAGGGATGTGGGTATGTTTAACAGTGTTTGTATAAATGTGACAAGTATGCATCTTTTTTTTTTTTTCCATCAGAGATTTTTTTACTAACTCACCTGCAGTATTCAACATCTAAATAATATCCATTTTATATTGTATAGCACCAAACAAAGTCCACAAAGTCTTTTCCATAAAATCAATAATGAACATTTTTAATTTCTCCACGTAAAATAAGTTAATCTTTTTTTTGTGTGTTTCACAGTCTGCGTACATTTAAAGTCGTCCTGCTGCAGTTTTTTTCTCGTCAGTCGTCTCTGCCACCATGCTGTTTCCTGTGCTGCTCTGTGCCGCTCTGCTTCTCTTCACACCGCTGGAGATGACAGAGGCTCGCGCTCTGCACCCTTCTCCTGAAGCCGCGCAGGTACTGAATGGAGAAGAGAAGGGGGTTGGGGGTGAAAGTGTATTGAGGAGAATTCAGAGTGGATGAGGGATGTAAGAAAATAGTCCAGAAAGAGGGGAGGAAATGGAGGGGAGAGTAATGAAATGTATCTCTGATTGAATTATTCCTCCTCATACTCTCTCTGACGATTAAATTGAATCTTTTTTTTTTTTTCTTTTATCTTGCTGTAGTTCATGGAGCAGTTTCTGGAGCGCTACAATGACCTTTTGACCCTGGACGACCTGGAGAACCTCTTGAACAGCCCTCCGGAGGAGCAGTCTACCTTGTCCTCGGGGGCCAAAGCAGCTGAGTATCCTAAATGGGCTGACACACAAACGCAAGCTGAGACCCCCTGGCTGCGTCTGCTGAAGGGGGCTCTGACCAATCAGAAGCGAGCAGAGCCGGACCGGTCACGGAGGGGATGGAACCGAGGATGCTTTGGGCTCAAACTGGATCGGATTGGGTCCATGAGCGGACTGGGCTGTTAGTGAGTAGGAAAACGGGACTGATGGCATCCTTCTTAGAGTATCAAAAGAAAGAAAAAAAAAAAAAAAACCCGCAAAGAAGGGATGTTTACATGTGTGTAGACTACATGTAGTGTGATGTAAACTCGCAGCCTTACTTATGTGGTTTCATCCAGCGTAGGTGCCATAGATCAGACGCTTCACACTATTGTGGCTGTTGTAACAGAGCAGCTAGATTATTCCATGTGTAAGAATTAAACTGAATATAAAAACTATGAGCTATGTTTACATCAAAAGATCATCTTTGATTGTTGGCCTTTTTTTTTTTTTTCTTCTTACAACAGCATTTTGTGTATTTCCAGCTTTGTTTGCGTGCAGTACGTGTAAACCTGTTTAGACATTTTGTGGCTGGGGCGGGGGGTTGCGTGTAAAATCAGGTGTAATTATCATGAAAATCAGAACATGAAGGCACCTGTAGTTCCTGCTGTTTGCTTTCGTTTACCTATGATTTGCATGAATAAATGGATTTGACATTAGCAGTTTCTTTTACTCAGGAATGAATTATGTGTTTGTGAGATTCTACATCCACACATCTATCCCCTGTGTGAGTTCCAGATGTTCCGTCTCAATCCACACGTGTCATCTCAATTCGTCCTTCAAAGTAGAGCTTTAAATTCTACTGACAGATACTTCTTCCCCATCAAGGTGGTTTATTGAATCTTTCCATGGCTGTTCAAGTCAGTTATTTTTCCCTCCCCATCATGTTGGAGTATGGGTGGCTCATCATAAAAGCTCCGCTGCATCCTAACCTGATTTCATTCTATTCAAGCATCAAGCACGCACTCTATGAAATAAAACTGTATATACAGACATGCTTTTTCAAAAAACCTTGATTAATATACCAAAATGATTTTCAAAGGAAGTCTAAACATTAATATTATGGAATAGACATTTTCAGAAATTTGTACCAGCAACGTTTCTAATTTAAGAACAAGACATGAATTCTTCTGAAGGAAATGTGCTTTGGTCTGTATTCAAATACCCAAAATGAAACTTTCTAAGCTGACAAAACACTAATATGCAAAACATTTTTCATCCTATAATACAGATAGTTTGCTCAAGTGTCAAAACTAAAAGTGTATTTCAAGCATCTTCATAATTTTGAAAATTAATAAAAATTGGGGAAGGGGCTGAATAGGGGCCTAAATGTTGTGAAAGTGTGAGGTAGAAGTTGCTCTGTAATATAGACTAAAGGACATTAAAACAGTCACCCATTCTCATCCTCTGAAACAACAGTTTAACCTTCAAACCTCAGGGTTTGTTTACTAACTGCACGACAAATTTTGATAAAATCATTTGATCCTAATCAGTAGTAGACCCTTGTGCAATTTTTCTACCTGGTCCATAATAACTGAACAGACTGCAGATGAGGATTATGTGACGTGACAAAAAGTTCCAAAACTACTAGAGATATATTGTCATATGTTGACCTTGAGATGGGACTGTTTTGTCAACTGATGTTTCAAAGTGAAGGAATCTTGAAACACACCAAAACACACACAGAAACACATGTTGGTAGGAAATAAAAATCTGCAGGAAAACAGTGAACTTACTTTTTACCATCAAGAACCAAAAGCAGTACTTAATGATGTTGATGTTCAATAGCTCCAGATTTCTAATAGTAACACTAGATGGCAGTGTCACTCCATCTTGTTCTTCAGCAGTCAAGAATCACACTTCAGACTTTGCACCAGACCTTAGTTCAAGCCTCACACTTATTAATGTTGTCAAATACCTCTTTTACCGGTACAGGCCATATCATGGCAATCTATAGATTATGTATTTTTCTGTTAAGAAAACCAGAATATAGTCTCTTTTTTTTTTTATAGGTACGCTGATACAACATTGTTTAAAAAAAGAACAAAAGTAAACATCAGAGAGCCATCGTATCAACTAAAAAGGAATAACCCTTCATGTTTTATGTGCTGGCTGCAGAAACGAGATCCGTATGAGAGCATTTACAGTACTGAGAGTGTAACAGGGACCAAGTGTTGGCTGCCCGGTCTAAACTTAGCCTGACCTTTACTTCCCCTCTTTGACCTTAAGCTGCAAAGCAGAGGCCAAGACATGGCATGCAGGCAGGGTTGTGGTAGTTCAGATATGCTCCGACCACTGGACTGCTGCCAGAAAACACAGCAGCACTGTCCAGTGTCGGTGCAGAGCTGGAAAACAAGGGCCTGAATATCGTCTTTGGTTCAATTTCAGATGTGCTGTAGGGCTGCTCAATTATGGCAAAAGTCATTAATCAGAATTATTTTGATTGATATTGAGAGCATGATGATTAAACACTATTACTCATTGACTTTACAACATCTGCATCTATCCATCTGCATTTATCATACTTAAACACTCTTAACACTTTAGCATTCTGAACACTTTGAAAAACAAACAATAACTAAAAATAAACAAGTTAAAACATAGAAACGTATAAATGTCTAAATATATTATAATAATCAATACATTGTGTTTTTGAGGTAGTGGTGATGAACTCTTGTCACCAAGATATCATGACAAACACTTTGAAACATTTACCTTGCATGACAACACCTAAGGAGAAACCAGAATGCAGCACAGGAATCATTTAATCTCCATTATCTTGTTTTTATGATCGTGGGAAGCCAAAATCTTAAATTGAAATTGAAACTCTGTACATTGGCCCGCACTTCTGCTTTGTGTTGCATGTTCATGGTCTGGGCAATGGCATACCATGGATAAGGTTTCAGTTCCCTGTCTGGACTGTCCCTGCTGCTGAGGCCCAATATAGCTACAGCCAGGAGGATGTCCCACATGACTCAACTTATATTGAACTTACATCCTCATTGTTCTGATGTAACTTTTAATGTCACCCTCTCTGGCTCATAAATGGACATCTGACAAGGCCTACAGACACAGAGGGGTCTGTGGAAACCAGAGAACATTTAAGGGACTGCTAACAATGTTGTTGGAGAGATGATATAACAACCTTAAAGAGCAACTTTGAGACACAAATCTATTAAAAAGACTTCAAAATGGACACAAATACACAAAGAACTATAAGGAAAACATCAAATCTGAAAAGACAGAAAAGGCATAAAGGACAATAAAAGAATGGCTTCCAAGAAACACAAAGCAGAAACAAAAACACAAACAGGTAAAATACACTAAACAGTTTAAGGATACAAACAAGTACAGAGAAACAAAACCTCCAAAAGACGGCTGACAAAAGAGACAAAAACAACCACTTAGTAACAAAACAATTACAAAAACAAACAAACTGTAAAACATCCAGAGTCACAAATGAGTTCAGAGAAACACAAACGCACCATAAGAAGACAAACAACCACAAATGGATAAAAAGCTAAAAAGAAACACAGAAAAAAAAGAGATTAATAAAACCCCACATAATAGGTTATTGTAAGTTTTTCTTATTTGTAGGACAGCTGCACCTTTTTTCCACTCAGAGGCCATTTAGGTGTCTCATTAAGCTTATTCACATGAAGTGCTTTCCAGACAAACGAGTCAACTGACATGTCCAATCACAAGTTTTGGAAAATTAACAAGTGTGTTGCAGCAGCAGAACTCTTTGCAAAGACCATTTTTATCCAGACAAAGGAAACTGTCTGTGGATGAAATGTTTTTATGCATTTCTATTTTAGAGTCAACGTTCTTTCAATAACCTATCAAAGCAACCGTGTGTGTAAATGGATTCATTCAGACAGAAGTCGTCTTCTCTGCTCATGCGTAATGATCATGAGTTTGCAACCAAGACTCAACTTTGACTTTTGCCGAGGTCATAGAGAGGCAGAAGAAGACAGGTAGCTGTGGAGAGTGTAAAAGTGAAGGGTCGTGGTCTTTGAACATCAAATGTCAAGGAGGATGACAGAGATTTGATCCCTCATATGCCCCTCTTTGCCTCTGTGTGTCTGTATTTACAGAGAAGGTCAATGAGGGACCCCTATCCTTTTCCCCTCTACTATCGGAGGGCTTTAATATCAGAGTGTCTAAATCTGGACCTCTTAAAGCCGAGGAAGGTGGGAACACCAATAAAGATGGATGTAAAAGAAAAAAAAAGTTTCATATTTTAATGAACTTTTTGCTCAAAATTAGCAGCAGAAAATTGGGGAACTTTAAGAGAGAGGCTTATGTTCTTTCTCACTCACATGTAGTCAAGTAGCAGAAGTTTGCACATGCTTCTTATGCAGGCTGACGACCTTGACATTCAGAGGGGGCGGGGCGAGGAGTAGGGACCAATGAGGGGGCGCGGCTTTAAACTCTGGTTAATCATAAAAACAAGCTGCTAAACTTTGCTCTTCCTTACTCACACCCGGAGTCGCAAGACAGACAGAGGCTTCTCACAAACGGTAAACACCTTTATTAAGAATCTAATGTCAGGCAGAGTATGCCAGAAACCTGCAGGGCCTGAGCTACAGGCTGCAAGAGCAGGTCACTTCATTTAGATCAGCTGTGGACAATCTGCAAGGGCTTGATTCAAACTAATTTCAAAGTAAATGTGCATGGTTACCTAGTTTGATGCACTTTTTCTGCTTCATAGACTTGTTTAAATGTAGGTTTTTGCATCATATGATGTTGAGAAATGTTTTAATCAGTGACATGTATTGTGTTGTAAAAGCAGATTTACATTGAAGTCCACTTGGACTGTGGTCCCAGATAATGGATATCTTATCAGTGGAATATATGAACATGTCTTTATGTGTTCAAAGATAATCATCTTAAATGCTCTGTTATCAAGTGAAAGCTAATGTATATCACCATGTTGGTTTATCTGTAGTTAATATTGGTCTTCTTTGTTTCTCCTTCCAGAGGACTAGAACTCAGGCAAAATGGTCAAAGTTGGTATCAATGGGTAAGTGCTCATTTCCACTCACTTGACAGAAATAACCAAATCCCCTTAATCAGCACAACTTAATTAGCAACACACATTCAGCTTGAACACTTGCTTCGTGCCCCCCCTCAACAAACACCGCCACACCCCTCTGATCTGTGCACACAGAGTGAATGACTGTGTCGGCTCTTTTACTTGTTAAAGCTTATTTGATTGTTTGTTCCGAATATAATTTTAACAGGCGAATGTACACCGAGATGTTCACATATAATCAGAACACTTAACTATACATTAGCAGATATAAATGATACTTCTGTTTGTTTCAAAGATAAAGATGAGATTAAACCTGCTTGTTTCTGAAGCTGTACGCTTTTAAAGCATACGCAGCGTTTGCAGTCCCAAGTGTGGACTAACACTGACTGTCCTCCAGCTCGCTCAGTCTTGTTAAAATATGAAATGATTCCAACATATCTTGACCTTATGCTCTGACTAGTATGAAAACTGCACACTCTGTTGTGAAAAAATAGTCACTTTACAAAATGAGATTTGCTTTTTAATGGAGGACATGTATAGATGTATGCACACAAACTGTCACCAGAATGTCCTCATGTTTTTCTTGATCTTTGCCCTTTGAACCTCTCAGCAGATAACAATGTGGGCAGTGGCTATGACATGGGGGTCATTGAACAATGGATTGTTTTTCTGTCTGAAACAGGTGGAAGAGGACCTGCGTAACTTCAATATTACTGAACACACATAATGTTACGTTAGAGTCTACCTACGTGCTCTTTATCTCTCTGCCCCTTCCTCCTCCCTGCAATTATCTGAGGACAGAGTACATCTGTGCCAGGATTTTGGACCCCAGGTTAAACAGTAACTTAGTTGCTGATCAAACAGTGTCCTGCCGTCACAAGGATTACCACATTAGAGGCCAATATCGACTTTAGCCCCAAGAGAGGAGAGAGTGAGAGGAGTGCAGCCATAAGCTGAGCGGTACACACCTCCCTCAGCACCTCCTCTTGAACTCTGCCCTTTGGGGGGGTGGATGTGGTTTCAGGTCTCCTGGGGAGTTATGTGATCTAGATACAAGGGATAAGGCAACAACAATAACGTGACATAGGCAATGCTAGAGTTGGCTTGAATGCTAAAAGCTGAAAATAACATGACTGATGTTCAGGTTATTTATTTCACTTTCACAAATGACTGGATCTACATTTCACTCACTGTAACTCTGAGACTGAACAGTTCAATCCAGTGACTATGTTCAGTCTTAAATAGTATCATACTGCCATCTAGAGACCAAAATAAAAAACAGCACTGTTCACATTTCAGATTCGGCCGCATCGGTCGCCTGGTGACCCGTGCTGCTTGCACCTCCAAGAAGGTGGAGATTGTGGCCATCAATGATCCTTTCATCGACCTGGAGTACATGGTGAGCACAAAAGTCATCACTACTAATGTTTCACATTTACATCAATCATTAGCAGCATGCTTTTATATCAAGAGAAACAGTGGTGACGGTTGGTAACTGTTTAGTTTAATTAACGAGTTGGAAATCTCTAAAAAAAACATTTAAATCTAGCAAACTTAATTTGCTTTGTTGCTAAAATAATCGTTGTATGCAAACTCATTTGTTGTGTTTGGGTGGAAATAGGTCTACATGTTCAAGTATGACTCCACTCACGGCCCTTACAAGGGTGAGGTCAAGATGGAGGGTGACAAGCTGGTGATTGATGGACATAAAATCAGCGTTTTCCATGAGTAAGTTAACTTCACTACTGCCACAATTTCACGTCATGCGTGACACAATGAGTTGTAAGAATTTATTGTGAGAAAATGCCTTTGTTTTCCTCCCCTGATTTCTCAGGAGGGACCCCGCCAACATCAAATGGGGTGATGCTGGTGCCCAGTACGTTGTTGAGTCTACTGGTGTGTTCACCACCATTGAGAAGGCTTCTGTACGTACTCATTCTTCTCCTGAACACTATGTTAAAAATAATGACATGGGCTTTACCATTCATGAACAGGGACATAGATTTACTACCATTTCAAAACCCATTGCAGGCTCACTTGAAGGGTGGTGCCAAGAGAGTCATCATCTCTGCTCCCAGTGCTGACGCTCCCATGTTTGTGATGGGTGTCAACCATGAGAAATATGACAATTCACTCCCAGTTGTCAGGTAAGAAACTGATAGTATATCAGAGGGTGTTTGTTTCTAAAGCTTCTGCTCATCTGGGATGGTTTTTCAAATGAGATATTCTGTCTTGGAGGTGTTATGGAAATGTGTCCTTCACAAAACCATGCACCCTGTATACTTGTTCCATTAACAACTGATAGAGCAACTAACTCTTCCCTCTTAACTCTTGTACAGTATTAAAGAAGTTACCGAAGCAAAGAAAACATATGCATGATCAATAAGCAATTATGAAGTATTTGGAATTACAATTTCTCAATGTTTAAGGTGTTGTGATTAAACATTTGATATTAAAATACAAATCTGAAGGCTGTATTTTGAGCCCATTCTCATTATAGTGTCAATTGTTGTACATCTGTCTTTAAACTTTCACAGAACCTGTATTTGGCTGTTTTGATATGGCTCCTTTTCATTTTTTTAGAAGCTTAGATCACTGATTCTTTTTTCTCCCTCCTGCTCTATAGCAATGCTTCCTGCACAACCAACTGCCTGGCTCCCCTGGCCAAGGTCATCAACGACAACTTTGGCATCGTTGAGGGCCTGATGGTGAGGATTAAAAATCACTTCACCAGGGAACAATATGGCAGAGCGACACTAAGCAGCTCCCAAAATGCTTCAATGACATTATAAAGTTAGCTTGATTTTAATCATCCCACCTTCTCTTTCGTCTTTCAGAGCACAGTTCATGCCATCACCGCCACACAGAAGACTGTGGATGGTCCCTCCGGCAAGCTGTGGAGAGATGGCCGTGGTGCCAGCCAGAACATCATCCCCGCCTCTACTGGTGCAGCCAAAGCTGTTGGCAAAGTCATTCCAGAGCTCAATGGGTCAGTGACAACTTTACTTGTATTCTGTTATTGCAGGATTCTGATGTGAATTTAGTTTGTGACCTTGACAACTGTATGTCCCTCTTTCACAGCAAACTGACCGGCATGGCCTTCCGTGTCCCAACCCCCAACGTGTCAGTGGTTGACCTGACAGTCCGTCTTGAGAAACCAGTAAGTGACCACAGGTTAAAACGTTTAAAATTTAAATCAAAAGTATTTTCACCATAAGTTTAGTGATAGCTGTCCACAAAATCAGTGAGTCCCAACCTGCAGTTACATCTTTTCCCCATGTAAATAGTAGTGCTTTTGTTGATGGCACATCAACCACATTCACATGATGGCCATTACCCTCCGAGGTCCCCCTCAGGGTAGAAATATCAGTAGTGTCTTGATTTTCATACTGTGTTTTTAGGTTTTCAAATCTCAATATAGGGAATATGACAAATTGTTAAATTGTACTGCTTCTAATTTGATCAGCAGCTGAAAAGATTATATGCCTACTGGAAATCAGAAAGGACATTGAAACACCTTTATAAGTTTAAAGAACTTAACAACTTCATAATTTATTAAATAACTCATTTAAATCCAACGTCTAGTCACAGCGGCAAACTTTAGCATACAACCGATTACTAAATCAATGTTGGCCAGAGAATATTCTTTGCTAACTGTTACTTTCTGTAAAATAACCACAAGATGTTTACTGTAAACTACATTATGTTGCTGTAAGCTAGCAATGTTAGCCTTTTCTATTTGTCATGTACTGTCAAAGAGTAATGTTAGCTAAAAGTGGTGCTAGCATTAGCTTGTGTAGGCACATTGGAACAACTTTAAGTTTCAGCAACATGTTAACTCAAAGTTTCAACATCTAGCCACAACAACAAACTTAAGCTTTCAACAAATTCCTAGCTACCATTGTTGTTATAGATAATATTACTGTCTACAAAGAGGAATTTAGGTCTTTTGTATCTGTTATCAAAAACTAAATGTTTGCTAGGAATTGGTTGAATGCGAATATTAATCTCTGACTAAGGGTAACTTCAAAATGATCAAATAGATTTTAACTTGAAAATGTGTATTAACTGTTCGTTGTTGTTTTTTGTTGCTGGTCAATTAAGAAGCTGTGAAATGATAAAGCTGATGACGATTCATGGTATCAATAATGGCTTTAACAAATCCAGATGACTTTTATCACAGCTTTCAGAAGTTGCACTGAATGTGTATCAATCTGTAACTGACAAGAGTCCCTTGAAATTTTTCCATTTAGAGGTCAATTTGACAAAAACTACATTAGCTAGTTGTTTGACGGTTACTCGGCTTGCTTATTCAGTGTTTCCATCCTATAGCCTTTAAACATTTTGGCCCAACACTTGTCTTTCATCAAAAGATGATGTATTGCTTTCTTTTTAAATCTTTCTGACATGCATTTGAATGTGAGCTGCATGCATAATCAAGCATTTATCTCCACTCTTGACAACCACACATGCATCACATCCAGATAAAATTGAATTCACAATATCAACCTACAACTTGCTCTCTCTCTCTCTTTATTTTTTTTTTTTTTTTTTTTTTAAATATATTGACTAATTGTAGTGTATGTTTAAGCTTTTTATTATCTCAGTGTAACATTTCGTTTTTTCCTTGCATATGTATGCCTGAAAGATTTTTTTTTTTTGGGTAATTGAAATTGTTTTGCTGTTTTTTTTCCTACTACACATGGGTTATCAGTCTTGAAAGATCTTGGGTTTTCAAAATTGTATTCTTACAAAAGAGAGTACAATTAAAATATTTCCATAATTAAGATGAATAATTATGTTATGTAGCCTACATTTAACTGGATAAAACTCCCAAGTTTCTTTTCTCAACAGGCCAAATATGATGACATCAAGAAGGTTGTGAAGGCTGCAGCTGATGGACCCATGAAGGGCATCCTGGCATACACAGAGGACCAGGTATGTGTTGTGTCCCTCAGTCTCTGGTATTTCACTTATTTGTTCAGTGTTTTTGTTGAACTGTCTTTCTTTTTCTCTCCTGCAGGTGGTCTCCACAGACTTCAACGGCGACTGCCACTCCTCCATCTTTGATGCTGGCGCCGGCATCGCCCTCAATGACCACTTTGTCAAGCTGGTCTCATGGTGCGCCTTCAGCATGAGTTACTTTCATATCCTCCTGTTCACTTCCACTGACTTGTAATGACTCCTCCTCTCTGTTTCTTGACCAGGTACGACAACGAGTTTGGATACAGCAACCGTGTTTGCGACCTTATGGCCCACATGTCCTCCAAAGAGTAAACCAACCAACCAATCTGCTGCCAGTGCACTTTGCCACATTACCCACATCCTCCTGAATCCAGAGTTACACATGTGCAATAAGACATTGTGTTGTTTGTGACTCTGCCTGGTTACTATCAGATGGTCGACCCTCATAAGATGCCTGAGAAAAGACCCAAAAAAGAGCAAACAAAAGAATCCAAATTGGTGACCAATTACTTTTTTTTGTATTTTCTTAACTCCCTGTTCTGTTCTTGTGAGATGGAGTGAAGGTGTGAGACTTGTCTTTCTGTAGTGTTGAAGTACTGCAGTCAGACATGGAATAAAGTCCTCCGTGAGATTCATTGCCTCCCTTTCTCGTCTGTTACGACACAGAAAAAATCTATACAGAAAGTGCTTCTCTGTAGAATATCGGTGGATGGATTCTTACTTGAGCGTCAGTTACTTGAGCAAAGCTTTACAAGAGATGTCAATGCATGTCTGTGATCAATTCCTCCCTGTGGGAAGGGACATGCTTAATTGCCTGAACTCATGATTAGGTGGACTCGATGAGGTTCTTTGCAACAGGTTTTGCCGCTATAATCAAATCTTGTAGAAACAGATTTTATGCAAACGGTGGCATGCAATTTTTTGAATTAGGTTTCCCTCTTTCTCCTCTTCCATATTTGGTCTATCTGAGTAGCTAGGAGTACTGAGGAACGGTTAAGACAATATACAGTTTCTTTCATCAAGTCATCTTGCATGTTTTAGTGTTGATCATCTTCTATCACGAAGACTGACTCAGACAATGACATCATGAATCTTTCAACTATTCAAGTCATTGGTTATAATGCAAGAGGGCTGTTCAAGCATAGATACTTTAATATAAAAAGGGAAGGATTTAATCAATAACCACCATAGAGATATATGTGGGTACATGCCAAACAACATGAGCAGGTAGGAGACTGTCCTTTTACAGATGCTTATTGTGAACTTCACTTCCACCTTTTTTAGTGAAAATTCTGTGAATTATCATGCTTCTAAAGCTTAAAAAAATGTATGGCAATCCTGTGAACCAATTATTTTCTGTGAGCTGGGGGGGAAAAGATGATAATTATATTTCCTCTGAGAGGGTCCTGATAAAAATGAGACAGGTCTCTACAAGAACACTGACACAGTTGTTCAATCGAGTTATTTTCGCAACACAAATAATCAAAACAGTGTTGAATTTTGATGTCACTTCTGAATTTAGTCCATTTAAAGATCGTCTGCAGGAGTTCACCCTGAAACCTTCCGGTTTATTTCTGATGTTGGTATTTTTCTGTACTTTCTGAAACAACAACCTTCAATTGTCAAAACAAAGCCATTGTTCCATGTTAGTTTCACATTTATACTGCTTGTAAAGGCTCATGATTTGAATGTATTCAAATGATTTACTGTCCACTGAGCACAGAACAGTGAAAAACTATTTATACCACAATTACATTGTTGAGTGGAGGACCCCGTTGATGGCTGTGGGTTTTCAGAGATTATGGATTTAATATCAAAGAGAATGGAAAATCAGTCAAGGAGATGCAAGACTGAATGGAGGTTAAAGACCATCAAATATCCCCCTCCCCTCTTCCTCTCACTCTCTCTCTCGCTCGCTCTCTCTCTCTCACACACACACACACTTGCCTGCTTCTGTTAATTTCTCAACCAGACTATCAGAAGCAAAATTTCTCTCTAGCTCTCAGAGATGCCACATGGATTTACAGATTAACACTGTATAAATATCTTGAAGCTATTTGCTTGAGAGAGCACACTAAGAACAAAAGGACGGTAAGTCATGCCATTTTAAGGATTTTTACTGAACAAACAAAAAAGCTTTTGGGGATGAGTCATTTTAGTTCAGAGGAAACAAATGCTCTAAGGCAATCTCTGTTTTGTGCTTCCACTTGCATGTTATTAGACTTTGTACATATATTATTTTATTTCTGAGTTTATCGCCCAGGAAAGTTTCTTGCTGCTCTTGAGACTCAGCTGATTGCCTGCTGGCTTCATCAAAATATAATAGAGCTCGAGGGAAAATGACTCAGGAAGAGAGTATAGTTTGTTTCCTTTTAACTGCTGGTTTTGCAGGATAATTAAAAACCCTGTATTTAATATAACCACAAATACATTTAATTCACGTAGCAGGACACACAATTCTTACAATATATTTAATATAAGAGAGCACAGCACTCTTTATTCTTCATTATATCTTTTACCTTCAGTGTCTCTCTGAAGCTTCGGGACTGATCTATCCTCTCATCTCCTCTTTGTGTGCTGCTGTGGGTCGGTGCAGGACACTCATGGGAGATATTGGCTCACAAGGGGGCTCGCCCATTCACCCAATGTTCCTCTCCAAGCTGCCCCCCTCTGCAGACCTGGCTGTTGCAGCCTTCCTCACCTTTACTGGTAGGCACAAGGACACTTTTATCTTTTGGAGTTTTTCAGGGTTTTTTCATTGTGGCAAGTCCATAGTTGCAAACTCATGTCTTAAAGATGTACAAAACCCAAATGAATCATTCCATATTATATGTAAATTGAAAAACAACCTTTGATATGAGGACACAAAATATTTAAGTGACTGAGGAAGTCAGCCAGCAAATAGAATATACAGCAACGTAATTCCTAAGATAGATAAAAGTGACATCATTTCTCGAATGTTGTTAAAAGTCACGTGCTGTTAAACCATTTCTATTTATGTACTTTTAAAAATTATAGTGTTATGACAGGTACAGATCATAGGTTCTGCGTGACTGACTTGCTATTGCTAACATAAGATGGGGAAAATTATTTTTTTCTTTTTTAGATTACAAGTCAACACAAACCCCTGTTTCAGTAAATGCAGCACAATTCAGACTGTGAATAAAAAAGACCTGTAATGGGCTGAACAGTGTGCACGGCAGGGAGGCCTCTGACTCCTTCAGTATTTGATCTACTCTCACGGTTAAACTTGTTCATATGCGTTAGGCTTTTTCTGGCTTCATTCGCTCCCTGTGGAGCAGCATGAGTGTTCTGCTGCATGGACAACAGCTGATTAGTATATGTGGTTAATCAGGAGAATAGCTGAAAAACTGCATTGATCCAGTTTGAGGCACTCTGATCCAGCTCTCTTTAACATGCACAACCGGTGCATGAAGACCACATGTGAAGTCACTTTGAACTAACTATGTGTTTTTTTTTTTCTCTCCGTCACAAATATTCAATTGTAAGGTTTGACATCAGTGCTGGGAAACGGCATGGTGTTATTGTTCTACTGTAGAAAAAGAAAGAAGCTCAGACCTCCAGAGCTCCTCACCATCAACCTGGCTCTATGCGATTTTGGCTATGGCCTCTTTGGGGCGCCATTCTTCATCATTTCAAGGTACAAAATACAACTAATGAATACTAAGGCATTTATTAATGTATTCCCCTTTTACACCCTGTACAAATTCAAGATACTTTTACTTTACTGACATATTTCCATGTTATGCACCATTACGGCAGTAGCTCAGTCTGTGGGGACTTGGGTTGAGTCCTGTTGAGGACGAAGTATACAAATTGCTTTGGTAGCAGGAGAGGTGCCAGTTCACTCCCTAAGCATTGCTGAGCTGCCCTTGAGCAAGGCACCAGACCCCAAACTGCTCGGGCGTTCTTCCGTGTAGAGCCCCTCACTCTGACATCTCTCCATTAGTGCAAGTCCATTTGATCCTGTTTGTGCATGCGAGTGCATTTCAGCCTTTGTGTGTGTGTGTACTATGTCTCAATTACAGAGTGTAAAAAGTAATTTCCCCTCATGTGATGAGAAAGGGATATCTTCTTCTTCTAAACATCTCTCTTCTTCATCTCAACGGCAGATATCTTTATCTATCTTTTAGATCTTTTTAGATCTTTATCTATCTTTTAGATCTTTTTAGATATCTTTTTAGGGGCGGCAGTAGCTCAGTCTGTAGGGACTTGGGTTGGGAATCAGAGGGTCACCAGTTCAAGTCCCGGCATGGACCAAGTCTGGTAGCTGGAGAGGTGCCAGTCCACTTCTAGAGTACTGCCAAGGTGCCCTTGAGCAAGGTACATAGGATCTTGTTTGTGCATGTGTGTGTATTTCAGCCTATGTTTGTGGAGCATGTTTACTAGACAGAGTGTAAAAACAAATTTCCCCTCGCGGGATCAATAAAATTATTATTATTATTATTCCTTTACATTTGTATGACAGTTTTTGCACTGTTTAGATAACAATTCTCTATGCCGTTCCTCTGCAGTGAAAACCAAATATTTAACCATTTGATATTCAAAGAGAAACTGAAAATAGGGCTGCTTTATAATCTTATTTAAATTAGACTTCTTAGAGATATTGTTCTCAGAGAAAAACAAACATAATGATTTTATGCAACATGATGTGTGCTGTATATCAAAATACAGCATATATAGATTATTTCAAATAATCGAAAACATCATTAGAACTAAAATTTAATACAGACATTAAAGAAGCAGTGACAATCATCCAAAAATGTCACATTTAAAAATCAAACAGTGACAAATTAGGGTAACACAAAATACTGAAACAGCAATATGTCATCATTCCATACTCCAGAAGCACTGGAGCCTGACATCAATATTTTAATGAAAATAATAGGGAGCTCTAAAAAAGAGTTCACTACCAGTTTGACCCACTGCATCACCACTTCATGAATCCTCACGGTAGCACATGTGGACGTGAATAAGACTAATGTGAACAAATGCTCATTGTCCAAAGAAGATGACAGCGAGTTAATGCCAGACATATAAGAAGTGACAGGGTGAAGTGTGATAGGAGGTGGAACTGACACCAAATTGCAGTGAATAAAGACATTCATCCATGCACTTCATCTTTTTAGGGGCATTTTGTATTCAGTTCATTAGATATGGGGATGTATCTTTATAGGTTTGTCTTACAATGTGTCAATTATCACAGAATCACTGTAATGTGTTATTGTTGCTGTGGGCCATGTATCGTACCTTGAGTTACCCTGCAATTCCCCTTCCTAATGACCAAACAGGGGACAGTTTTCTGACAACACTGTCATATATTTACCTAAGTATAGCTTTGAACACAGGACTGTAACTTGCACTTAACTGTGTCTATAACTTGTCAAACAATTACTTTTATTATAGTCAATGACCAGAAATCTTTCTTCCACCCCATGCTAAAACACTAACATCCATTCCAGTGACAGAAGGAGATGATTCATTAAGCGGGGCAGGAGACTAAAGTTTTTCTGTCCCTCTGTAAGCCTGTGCCATGCCTGGGTGTTTGGGGAGACGGGGTGCCTCTGGTACGGCATTCAGGGCTTTGTGTTTGGCATCGGCTCTCTTCTCACCACCTGTCTCATCTCTGTGGACCGCTGCCTTAAGATCTGCTGCTCAAGATACGGCAAGTCTCACATGATCTTCCAACATCCAAAAAAATGTACAATCCACAGAGGCATGACTGCACTGTATATTCACCTGAATCAATCTACATAAAATGATACATTTCTTTCACACGTTATATGGACACAACCCTCTTATTTTGGTCTTAAGACCCTACTTTTCTAGAACACATTGATTCAAAGAGTTATTGATTTACAAGCCATTCGCTGATTGCTTAGGTAAACCCCAAAGCCAATTAAACCTGCTGATGTTTCAAAAAACTGCCAAATGTCAAATGTCAGGAATTCTCTTGAGGATTGAGAGCACCTCATTCTTACACATACACATGATGCTTGAGACACTCTAAGTCCAATAAGTGGTTTGCATGCGTATTGCCTCTATAGGTCAATGGGTTGAGAGATGCCATGTCTCTCTGTCCATATTGCTGATGTGGATTTATACACTGTTCTGGGCCCTGCTGCCTGCTTTTGGCATTGGAAGTTACGGAGCAGAACCTTATGGGACCAGCTGCACCATCAATTGGTAATCTCTGATGTCTTATGCATTTGCTGCTTGATGCCCTGTTGTTCACATACATAAAAGTCTGCAGAGATGAGTTGTCTGGGATTTCTCAGATATGAGTGATTGCCTTTCTATCTATATCTCTATCTCAAGGTGGAAAATGAGGTCATCTCTATATGACAAAACTTATATTTTCCTCATCCTGACATTGTGCTTCGGACTGCCAGCGCTTGCCATTGTCATTTCATATCTGGCAATCCTGCTGACGGTGAGGAAAACTGCTGCATCATAAAACAAAATAGAGGATCTAGGAGCAGCATCTGTATCTGTAATTCGTTTTTGTATGTACCAGTCACTCATTTACACCCACTCTATGGGGAGAGTAATACGAATTGCAACTTTGGCACCTCCCAGTGGTAATGCTGAAAAATGCATTGCGGAAGCCAGAATTGAACACCGTTGACGTCACCTTCAAGTCTGAAAAGTATAAGCTAATGTGGAGGTATACTGAACCTGCAATCTTTCTAAAAGACAGCAGGGGATGACTCATCTAAAAAAGGATGTCAGATTGTAAAGAAGAAGAAGAGGATATGATCCTACTTCTTTTACAATTGGCTCCAGAAATCAAGAAAGCGACGCCAAAATACCAAACTTGAGGCTTCACTGTGGAAGTGCAAAAAAGATTGGGTGACATTATACTTACATCAACATATTATATAAAGGTGTTAAGTGAGAAAATACCCTATTGGCCCAGATGATCACAGGCCCCATATGCCCTAGATACTTATGGTTTGTAAATTTGTTGGTGACAATGTTATAAATTGCAAATTTCTTAAGAATAATGCCTCTGTAATTAGTTTTAGTGCCAGGTCTTGAGGCAAAAGAGTTGCAAAATAAAGCCTCTTGAGGTTAATAATCCTTCATGAGCAGTTGCTTTTTATTTTTAGTTTGTATTTTTACAAACTTAAAAACAGATAAAAACAATTAAGATGAGCCACAATGAACAGTGTCCTGGGGAAAAAAACAACAACCCTGAATTTCAAGGATCTTCCAAACAGGAAAATTAGCCCTTGGCTGGCTAAACAGCAAATAACAAATCTTCAAAGTTAGAAATAGTTCACATCAATCAATTATTATCAATCAATCATTATTTGTATAGCGCCAATTCATAACAAGTGTTGTCTCGAGACGCTTTACAAAAGAACATATGGGATGTTGTCCACCCTTCCTTGCAGCTGAGGTGGAGGTCGGAGCAGGCCGTGGATGAATGAGGACAGAGGTAGTTGTGGGGACGACACAGTCTGATGGTGGAGGCTGGGTGTCACACATATACACTGTGTTAAAGTGCAATATAATTTGTTTCAAGTAGTTTTAAAATCTGGACCCAGTCTAAATCAAAGTGCCTTGAATTTATGGTTTCCGATTTTGTCCCGTCAATAGAAAAATGAGAAATACACAGAGGCCTGCTTTACATATCACATCACAGCCCCCCAGAATAACAGCTAACATTATCCACAAGCTTCATTGGCAGCTAAATTAGAAATCCCAGATCAGTGAGCATGAATAAGTGCTTTCTTGGACAGTATGTGGATGAGCTGTAGACAAAGAAGTTACAAAGGCACCAAACATATTATCATCAAAATAATTCAAAAGACTATTTAATTGAAAAAATGTGTCACCTGGGTATTTATCTTTGCAGAAGTTTGATGTCCAATAGTTATGATTGGAATAAAGTGATTGTGATAATAGCAGCATTAACTGTTGCTTCTGCTTTCAGGTCAACAGATCTAATCGCAATCTGGCATCTATATCGTCCTCATCTGTCAGTCACACCAGCAAAGAAGTGAAATTAGCAAAGGTAGACCTGAGTCAATGATATCTTGATACATATTCTTCAACAAACAAATGAACTGTTTTTTATTTATTTCAGATGGCAGCTGTAGTGTGCAGTAGCTTCCTCCTGGCCTGGATGCCCTACGCTGCTGTGTCTCTGATCTCTGCACTCCTTCCCAGACACCAAGAGGTAGGAGGCACTTTACTTTCTATGAAGGAGGAGACCGCGGGTCCTAATGTTCCCAGGATCTTTGATGTACCCTCTTTGCTCAACTGGACTACTGCAGAATATTACACACAAATCCACAACAATCCTGAGAGTAATCGGAGTGAAGTGAGCAGCACCACTTCTGCCTCCATCACCGGCCTGAGTGAGAAAGAAGCTGAGCCAGTGACCACGATCCCGCAGTTGCACTCTTCTCTGCAACCTGTAGTCACCTTGATCCCTGCTTTGTTTGCGAAGTCTCACTCCATGGTCAACCCTTTAATCTACCAGATAATGAACAGGGCGTTCAGGGATGATGTCTACGTCATGGTGTTCGGCCAAGAGATGGCAGGGAGGAGGCGCATGCAAGGGAGGAATCAGAGTTTATGTGAAAGTAAGAAATAAGCTGAAACGTCTATTTGAAAGTTAGTCAAAGTTTTATGTATGAAACAACTACCAGACAATGCCATTTCTTCTTCTTTTCTCTTTTAGGCGGACTCAGCAGTTCGTATCGCCATAGCTGGAGGAGGAACAAGAGTATGGGTATGTTTGTAGAAAGAAAACACATAAATTTGAAGAATACAGAAGAACACAGCCACCCAGGGAGCAGTAGAGGAAGATCAAAGTCGTGGGCAGACAATATCTCAGTCAGGACTGATGCTTTGGACTCTTTGGAGACTGCAGGAGATATGGAGAGACACTTCACTGAAGTTGGACAGAAGAAATCCAGCAATGACTGACAGATTGATTATAGATAGACAGATGGTGCATGGATGGATAGGTGGGTGCATGGATTGAGAAATAGATATACAGTATATATAGATATATATATAGATAGATAGACAGACAGACGGACAGACAGACAGAGGAATGGATGGATAGATGGAAAAAAAGAAAGTCAAAGATTTGCTGTGAAAACAAACTATGGACTAAAGGCAAAATAAATAAAAAATCAACCTGTGCTACTGGCACAGTAAAGGCGTTTGTTATATTCAGGCCAAAAAAGTACATCAACACTACATCAAAAACATAGCTATTTTAGTTTAGATTATGTTTATAAATTATTGTTCTTATATATTCATATGTTCTCTTTTTATTTTTGTTATTGCTTGTTTTTTTGTGATCACAATGTTAAAGTATTAAGAGTTAAAAAAAAAAAAATGTGATGCATGTGCTGTAAAATAAGTAATCATGTATAATAATCGTGATCTCAATATCATTCAAAATAATCTGGATTTTTTGTTGGGGAGACTTGTGCATGTTTACCAGGTGAAAAGTAACAGTGCTTCAATGAATGCTTATTCCAGTCCAAATGACAAAACAATTGGCTTTTTTCTTGTTGTCTTGTCATTTTTATTAAATGCTAAAAAATGCCTAAGGCCTCTTCCATTTTCTTGGCCTCACAAGTTGCCTTTGTAATTTTATTTATCACAGAGCAGGTCAAGAATTTAAATAAATATGAACAGGAGTTTAACAGGAATACTTTTTGAATACATTTAGCCTTTAATAGCTTTCCTAGCGTTTGATATGATAAGCAGTTGCTAGGTGGCAAATGGAGAGTTACTTGCTTGCACATTGTCAAACAGCAAGTTACACAGTTTACAGACTAGACCAGATAGATATAAAGCATTAATAAGTGAACTGCTTTCAGGTCGATTTTCTTTCAGAGGACATATAGTCAGAAACACTGTTTGCCAGTAAAGCTAATGTATCTTAGCTAAGCTATCCAACCAAGGTGTCTTTTGCTTATTACTGTACAGTAGGGCTACATGTTTGAGCCTGGTAAAATCGTAATTAATAAGGCCATTATCTAGTTGGTTGATATTGTAAGTGTATAAGCTCCTGAGCATTTTAAAATCTCAAAACGACAGAATACGAGTTTACACACTAAAAGTTTAACAGCAGCCACATATTCAGTGGCGATTGATTGTCTGGGCCCTAGGCAAAAACTCATTTGGGGCCCCTCCAAGCAGCTTCCATCATTATAATGTCTGACAGATTCCCGATGCTTACTCGTCTCTGCCTTTTTACTCTTTCTTTTTTAACCACCAGACGGATAATTACTCTTCATTTTCCTTCGTTGAGTTTCATTGACAATAATGGTTTTCACAGCAAAATGTGCATGCAATGCTTGGCAGAAGAAGCGGAAGTGCTTTCAGGAGGAAGTGCTTTCAGGTTTCATTCTGTCATTGCAAAATTTGCACATTTTGAGCCACTGCTGTGGTTGTCAGCCCTTGTGGGAGGGGGGGGGCTTTTTGGCCTAGGGCCCCATGCAGTTGCCTGCCTTGCCTAGTGACATACAGCACCTCTGCAGGTTTGTAATCCGGTCTTGAATTCTGTCCACTTTAATTAGCCACCTGATTCAAATATTTATTTTTACATCGGGATCATCACCATTAAAAATTAAAAATTGGCTCAAAAGTTTCCCTCGATCTGTAGGCTAACGTTGTTTATTGTATCTGTGTGAGTGAGCATGTGTGTTGGTGTGTGTGTGAGAGGAAAGAGTGAAAAACAAAGGTGAACCCTTTGCCTTGTAAATTCGCGGAACACAAACAGTTAAAGGCTCAGCGCCGCTCTCTTCGAGCACTTACGGTAACCGTGCTCCTCCAATCCGCAGTACTTTCTCTGGCTGCGGTCACCTCTTGTTGGCAGAACTTCAGTGACGGGGTGATACTGGATTTATATGTTATTCATCCACGCTATGCGCCCTTTCTTCGTTTTAATGCGTTTATTTTTTTTGCAAGGAATGACACTGAATCGCGAGTGAAGTGTTGCCGCATTTTGCTTACTTGCAATTCATTTGGAGTCGCACCGGGGTGTCTTCTTGTGGAGAGCTAGACAGCACTTGTACATCCTCCAACGTTAAGACCTCTGAGCTTTAAGGATAAGATTCTTATTTAGGCACGGTGACATAATCAGGTAAATACTGGCGTTTTGTTCGTACGCTGTCGGGTACATTTTCCTTCTAGGTCATTTTCTAATCACTGTATTTTGTTGTAGAAAGAAAATTCCCGTTCGTTTTCATGCCCGATCTGCAGCGCTTTAGTTTTCCATATCATAGCATGAATCCTTTGTTGGGGGCCAATACGCATCTCCAACAACATCCGCAGCAGAGCCCAGCCTCCGGACATCCAGACTCTCCCTCCGGCCTCCTCCCCGACGCCGTTTTCGGTGTCTCGGACCCGACATCCTTTCTACTTGGTGAGCTACCCAGCCCAGGCCCTGATCAGCCGGGGCCTGATTTCACCGCACCCTCACAGACCTCTCCTTTCCTCCACCACAATCACAGCAGTCATTACCAGCACCGCGTTGTGCCGCATCCCCCCGCAGCCATGGCTCTTAGAAACGACTTGGGATCCAACATCAGCGTCCTTAAAACCCTAAATCTGAGATTCAGATGCTTTTTGGCAAAAGTGCACGAATTAGAGCGCAGAAATAAGATTTTGGAGAAGCAGCTGCAACAGGCTCTAGATGCCAACAAGGGCTGTCAAGGTGGATGCTGTGATGGCAGGGCACATACCCAGGAAGCATGCGTGCAGACCGGATTTGTTGGCACCATACCGCTCAGGCCCGGCTCCCTCCTCTTTCATAACACCAACAACTCAGCCAGGAGGCCTACAACACTGTTCCCACCAACACTCTCAACCAACCTACCACCTGCAGCCGCTGAAAACTCCAGTTCAACCCAAACAAACACCACGTCCAACCCAGCCATCACAATAAGCCAGGCCTCTCCCTGCGTGGACTCCCCTGGTTCTGTCTCTAAAAGTGTCACCAACACCAGTGAAGGCCAGGAGAGATCTACCAACCCTCCTCCAAGGTTCCTGCCGGGCACCATCTGGTCCTACAACCACACCCGCAAGTTTGGACCAGGTGCAGAGCGTCTGACCAGTCCAGGAGTATCCTGGGTGCACCCTGACGGAGTCGGGGTCCAGATTGACACCATCACCCCTGAGATAAGAGCCCTGTATAATGTCCTGGCCAAAGTGAAGAGGGAGCGGGATGAGTATAAACGCAGGTAAACCATTTTATTACACCTTTAACATGCATTTATACTGAGCATGTCGTTCGTTTGAGTGTGTAATGCACAATCTGGAGTGAGCAGAGCTGTAAACAGCTGCAGACCAGCTGTCTCCAACACAAGCAGCAGAGTCAGCACAAATCTTCACCATCCATCACTAACCGCCTGACTGTGCATCCACTCCATGTCTGACCACAAACACAGGTGCTGCTGCCCGAAATACAACCAAATATTTAACACATCACAAGCTAAATATAAAGAAGAACAAAGGTCAAAGCTTAGTCAAAACATGTGAAGATTAAAACAAAATATCACGAGACCCTGAGTCATAGTGTACATGTCCATGAGAGAAAATCCACCCTGGAATAGGTCTAATGTTAATGTTCCACTGACTTTTATTTAAGAAATTGAACAATTCAAGATGAAAGATGTCAATTTAAGGCCAGCCAAGGATTATTAATGTTAAGACTGTGGACCACACAACATATTGGAATTACCCCATTGGTGTTTTACTGCAAATATGAACATTAACATTGGACTAGGAGTTGACACATTCAGTCTTTCATTTCTGTAACCAACTAATTATTTATGTTATATTTGCTATTGTTTGCTATTGTTTCTGTTTCATCTTTAGCTACAGCTATTTAGGTTTTTATCAGAAAGCAGTTTGAAGACCTCACTGCTCTTGAAAAATGTATGTTGTATAATGAATATTACACAATGTATAGACAAAATAACCAGTTCATTTATCAAGAAAACGATTAGCAGATTAAATGGTAAAGGATTTTTAGTGTTTATTGCCTGTTATTTAACTTCTCTAAAAAAAAAAAACGAAAAGCGTACAACTCTGTGTCAAATAATGACATCAACAGTTTAAATTTAGAGAGACAGCTGTCTGTTTGGCAGATCAGTGTGAAAGTACAATGTGAACTCAAAGGTCTTACTTTCTCTTTAAACTCTTTAAACTCTTTAAACTCACAAATTGTACATTGTGCTATACATTTCGAGGACATATGCCAGTTGTGGTTTACTTGTCGGTCCAGAACCTAGACTGTATATACAAATGGACAACATGCCTCAGCCTCCTCCTGTTGGACAAACATGAAGCCAAAATATCCCCGTGACAAGCGCTGACCTATTGTGAAATTTGCAGTCAGGGATCAGCTGGAAGAGCCACCTAATTGACGTCTTGTCGCTTCCGCTTCCTAAACCCACATTTAGCTTAGTGATAAAACATCAAAGAACTCTCAGCTAGCTACAGTCTAAAGCAGAACAGATTCCTGTGTTGGTTTGAAGCAGACACTCACAGTTATATATTTAATTAAGATTTTGTTATTTTTCCCATTGCAGTTTCTGCTCTACTCTGTTAATCCGGTGCATACAATGCCGCAGTGCATACGTTCGTCAATGGAGCTGTCAATCATGGCAATTTCTACCTTTTTTGTAGCATCAAATAACTAATTTGAAAGAAAGTTTTCAGAAAAAAGAGCGCTTGAGCACAAAACTAGCGTGATAATAACTAACTATGATGAAGAAACCTGGCTTGAATAAAAATTTATTTCACCACTGTCCCGTCTGTTAACTTGAAGGATATAGGTTTATGACCTATAATGCAGCCAGTCAGCAGGGGGAGCTCTAAATGTGTCTGCATCACTTGAGGCGACTCAGACGAGGTATTCCACTGTCCATCTTTATACAGTCTATGGTCCAGAGTGAACCTCAGTAGCCCCCATGTCCCAGCACATTCAGAGTCGAATTCCCTCAAATTAAATCCAAATGAGCAGCCATGCGTTCTTCATAGAGGAGGAGATCCTGAGCAGCACAGGATAGAGGCTTCTTTGTGAGTGAGGGGACAAAG